CAAGGGCACAAGGGCACAAGGGCACAAGGGCACAAGGGCACAAGGACACAAGGGCACAAGGGCACAAGGGCACAAGGGCACAAGGGCACAAGGGCACAAGGGCACAAGGGCCCGGGAACAGGAGAGGACCGAAGCCGAAGACAAGCTGGTCGCGCCTCTGGCTTGCTGGCAGGAGTTGAGCCGGAAGATCAAGGGCAGATGCTGGGCCGCTGGTCTCGGCTGCCAAAAGGCAAGGGCAACCCCGAGGGAAAGAAAAAACTTCTTCCCCACGATAAGCCTCAGCTCGGCTCCGGGAGAAGCTTGACCAAGGGCAATCCATGCACACCGACGGGTTGAAATTACGCACAAACTGCTAGACCTGTGGCCGAATCGCGACAAGGAGATGTACCTGTTGGCAGAAAAGGGCAACTGGGGGCACGCCCAGCTGCTCGGCGAGCATGCGCCGGCAAACTGCTATGTGAACTTGAAGGAGCAGGACAAAGAAAGTAGATGAAAACATGCGAGAAGCGCCTGTTTCACGCCAGATTGTTCGGGACCTGCTGTGAGAAAGGGAGCATACAGGAACCTGTGCGCCCACCAGCTGGACAAGTCCAGTCTGGGACTTGGCGGCTGCCGTGGGCAAGGCTGGAGGACTGCCTCAGTTACATCCTTCGTTTGAAGATCCAACCTGATGTTCCTCGTCTTGACCCACATCCGGTTCTATTTTAAATACGAGAGGACATCATGAGGATAGCTGTGGAGTCAAATAGCCGCAGCCTGCGCCTGGATCGCCAGAATCCCCGTCCGGGAACCGGAGGCCTGAGGCCGCAGGCGATGCCGAGGACAAGGCTTTAGAGTCTCAAAAAGACATTCCAGCAAAGGAGGCTTTGTCGAGGTCGGGTCGAGGAGGAGGGCACACGCACACACGCCAAACCACACGAAATGATCATTCAAATTAGTACTTATGACGTGATTTAACTCAGATGAGAAACATGTGAAACCATAAAAATAGTGCTATACAAAGAGTGCAGCTTGCAGCCTCTATATTCTAAAAATTGGGCTTTAGGCCGGTTCGCGCGCCCAGCGTTTTTGGTCTCTTCTGACTTGCAGGTACGGTCCTCATGAAGCACTACGTGTTCTATGCCTTCCAGGGGCGTTCCTAAATAGAAACCAATTCCACAAAAAACTATGGTTTATAGTGACAATATCAACAGCAACGATCACGAACAACCACCTGTTGTGGTTGTGGTCGTTGTTTGTTGTTGATGTTGATCCCCGTGCTTATAAACTGGCTGGGGGTGTATTGTTGATGTTACGGTTGTAAAGGAAATTTGGTGCTATCGAACCGCCCTATTTTGTCTTCTGGCATCCTCGGCAAAAGCACGGCCACGAAAGCGAACCGTTCGAAACCTCATATTTCGGTTTGACAAGGCCGAGGCCAAGGGACAAGGGGACAAGGACAGAAGGGCACAAGGGCACGGGAACAGGAGAGGACCGATGCCGATTTGTCAGCCTAGCCCGGACGGCATGTTATCAAATCGGTTTTTATGTGAAGCATACCGAGATGACGAAGGCGGATCCGAAACAGACATAAGCCGAAATCCAGCCCAAAACGAGACCGAGGAAGAGCCAAGCCGAAAAGGCGAATGGCACGCAAGAGGGTAAGAGCCAGAAGGGGAACGGAAAGGAAAACGTGGCGAATCAGTGCCGAGCCGAGAACGCCCGAACGTAGACCTCCAGTATACCTTGCCGTTGCCCGGGGACTGGGTCTAACATTGCGCTTGCCATAGCCTGGGGACCTGGATGCGTGTTGGACCCGAGAGGATACCCTCTTTGTTGACTTTGTCCAAAGTTTGTTTTTGAACGGATGGCAGGGGTGGCAGCTGAGAGGGTCGTCCAAGTGGGTGAACTTGCTGTACTTCTCCCATTGGTCATTCCCAACAAGTACTTATCATGAGCCACGGTCGCCTAAATCCAACCCGGAAGGGAGCTACAGCGGACAGCACGCGCTTGTTGGACAATCCGATTCAGACGTTCTTGGTTAAAGCTTTTTGGTCGTTTGCGATTTCCTGGTGGGGGCGTGCTGGAGGTGTTTATGAATCTACGATGAAGGTGACCTTCAAACCCACAGAGCAATCATTGGGTATCTGTCCATTTTTGCCGAAGCTGGTCATGTCCGTCGTTGCCGGCACCCCCCACTGTTTCGGATCAGGTGTCAAGAAAATCAAATGTTTGGACTTGAGCATCGTGCCAGAGACGAAGGCTGAAGAGATCCTCAGAGCCATCACCCACGTGCAGATTGACACGGAACGGCCTGGGTTGGATAGGTTTCTCAGTCCTGGATGGATGAGTTTTATCTTTCCGTCGGCTGCCAGCGTCTCCAGCCGAATTCCATCAGTGTTGTGAGGCGTGCTTCGGAAGGGTGATGTTTGGTGCCTTGCACCAAGACGTAAACTTGGCTCGATCGGTTTCCGGGGGGTCGCCGCCTGCTCGCACTTCAAAGTGATCATATTGAGCTCAAGGTGGAGAGCTGTGAGGAGAGCAAAGGCAGCAAATGGCGGGCAACACTTGGCCAACTCGTCTGGTTGCTCGCTTGCTTGTAGGGTCGGCCATCACTTCTGAGCCGGCAAGGGCCGCGACCTCACGGCAGAGTTGTTGCAGGTTTGGAAGGCCGGAGAGGACAAAGTCCGTCAGATCAAACGTGGGTATACGTGGGTTATGGCCACAACGATTTGACGTGTCTCAGCGGGGTGCAGATTTTCGTTTGGACCATTCTGTTCCTGTGTCCGTTAAGCCCATGGCCAGTGATTAGTGATCGGCATTGCAACCACATGCAGAACGAGTCCCATTTCTGCTGCCTCTCTTGCTGGCAACTTACGCTTGCTCTTGAACGGTATCCGCCGGATGGCCAAGCTCCTCCGCTCAGCCCCGTTGTCACTTACCCGCTGGCTCAACTGCATTTCCACACGTTTGCTCGTTCGGCGAGCTTTTGCAGCGAATTCAACCTCACTCCAGGCAGACGTACTTAGTTACTCCCGCTGGCTACGTCTGGTCAGCGCCTTTTGTGGGTACTGTCGTTGTGAATGTTGCGGCCGGGCTCCGGGAGACTACTTGTCTACCGTACCGCCAGGGACCCACCACCGCCAGCGGCTTCATGATTTGCCTACTCTTCTTAATCTTGTCACTCCTTGTCGACGTGGAGGCCGCTAACGAATTTCGGAAGTCCATCTTCCAAATGTATGCTGGAACTCTATGAAAACCGCTCGCATCTACATGCGTGATGGCATAGCACAGCTCACTGAATAGCACAGCTCCTCACTGATCCCACGCTCCCGTCTCAAAACTGTTTCTTTTCTCAATTCTGCAACTCTTGCCTTGAGCCTGCCACGTGAGCGCCCGTTGCACAGATTCGGGGAGGTGGACACCAGTGCGGCATGAGTTGGTTATTGACCCACGGGATGCCCAGGATGACTGGAGGCTGAACTGTTTCTGGTGTTCATGCTTGTTCAATTCGTCATGCAGGTTTGGAGATTCGGCCACTGTGTTTGGATGCAGAGTGCACCTGCTGGCATCTGAGGCCATGCAGCGGGAGACCACAGAGGTTCTGGCAGTGCTGATGCAGGACCAGGGCTTGTCTGCTGCATGGGGGAGAACAACCGGCCGCGATGCTAGCGTCGCTGTGGTGATTTGGCGTTTCAACTGCATATAAGCATGTTCACGTTTTTTTTATAAATTATCTTTCAGCCCACCTGTGTGAACGGAGTGATGCTCTCATGCTGCAGGCTCGTCCTTGCGTTGTCGCGCATCCTCCGGACTGTCCTTCTGGACGGACGGAACTATGCATCCATAATCTCAGTGGTCTGTTTTGTTGTATCAAGCGCTGTGCTCACGTCTGCCGGTTTCCTTCAGATGCTAACATGGCGTGGACTGGCTTTAAAGATTCAATCCTTCATCCAGCCCTTCGTGAACGAGGAGATCAATTGTCAGGCAGTCAAGACTCGTTGGAGGGTGATGGGCTCTTGCATGCACCAGACCTCCCAGACGTTTCAGGTTGTCAGCACAGTTATGGGCATGACAACTGTCCTGGGTTCAGTTGCATTCTTATACGACTTGCAGCAAAGCCTTTTGCTTACGTCATTGCCCGGCTTTCTGCTGTGCCTGCTAATGCCGGCTTTCCTCCTGCCAGCAGCATTCACTGGGGTTTCTTGCTCAAGCCTGCCGTCGATGATCAGCATGCTCGATCCTGGCGAAAGCGGCGACAAGGAGTTTCAGGACCTGGCGATCTTCCTCGGTCTGACCAACTGTGGGTGCTTTCTGTGGGATACAAAGGTCACTGTCGGGCTGCTTCAAAAGATGGTGTACATGACAGTTGGCTTTGTTGGTACGATCGCGCTGAGAGGAGGCATGATTCCCCTTTAAGATGTGACGAAGTTTTGCTTTCAATCTTGTTTGGATCGCGAAGTTGTGCTCCACCCAACAGATGGGGTTTAAGCCAGATGTTTTGGAAGGTAGTTTAGACATAATTAGTTACCGAAGTGACTGGAATGTTGGGCTTCGGCGGGGCCGACTGCGAGCGGCGTTTGCTGTCGAACTGCGGAGCGCCTCAGCACTTGGCGTCATAAATGTACTTCGTGATCTTCCCTGCAGGGCATGAACTGTTTTGCAGTAGATAGTTTGCCGAGGCTGGCCGGCGGGTTCTTTCGGGTAAGCATTCATGTCATGGCGTGCTGGGGTTGATAGAAGCCATAAGGTTTTAGGCGGCCCATGCCAACCTCGGTCAGATGCAGGGATCTTGTAGAGATCTTCGTGACGGCCATGTCCGAAAGCAAGGCATGGCTGCTCGCCACAAAACACCCCGTCCCTACATGCTGAATTGCGGGAGTGCAGAGCACTGCCCCGCTTTCTCTTGTCTCAAGGGCCCGCCAAGGCGAGAGCTTCAACAGGAAGGACTCCGAAAGTCTCGGTAACCGATCTGCACAGAGGTGGGCATGCTGTCCTCGCTTACCGCCCGAGCGCCCGAGGCTGCGACCGTAGCCCTGGCTGGTCGCTTCCCTATTGCCGATGGCCTGGCAGCGGTGCGCCGTGCAGAGGTGGCCCCTATGCTTTCTCCGACCAAGTGACCAAGTGATCTCATCGGTTCGACATTAGTTCCAGCTGCTCCGCTTGTATGGGCTTCGTATTTGTTTTCCCTGGGTCTCAAGACTTCGGTTTTTGAGCTTATGCCGTTCAATATGTTCTCTTGGGTGGTATGCCCTAAGCCAGCTCTGGAGTGTCTGAGGTTTCGGGAGAGGCTTCGGCGAATGAAATCTTAAACATTTGTAGTGCTGTAGGGAGATTCTCCCCTTGAACTATGCTTGATCTTAGAGTCCTGCTGTATATCCTTGTGGTGACCTGGCACAAGTGAGAATCCAGTTAGTCCAATTTAGTCCAATTTCACACCGACTCCGCACCTAAGAACCTCGCCTGGCTGTGTCCGAGTTGTGAGAGCGTAAACATTTTCGGTCGCACAGGGCTGCTGGAAGTCCAGAGTTCGGCTTTGTAATGTGCTTCTCCCGTCGTGCGAAAACACACTCCCCGTAGCAGTGGTTCATTTTATCGTGAAGTCGATTTCACGAACTCACCACAGTGCCGTGTTTTTCGTTCTTGCGAAGACACGACGCCCACGCTTCTGAAGGAACATGAGAAGCATCCAATGAGCTGCAGTAAACAAGCTTCAAAGAGCACATAGCCGCGTGCGCACTGCTTTTCGCAAGAAACGCAAGTTCAAAAAAACAAGGTCTCTTGAACATCGGGCTTCGTGCGAACATGGCTGAGTGCACTTTTTTCGTTCGCAAGCATGGTGGCAGTGGTGATGCTGAGCATAGACGAAGCATGGCGAAACACTTCTGGCGATTTTGTGCACGCAAAATATCAAGGTATCTTACGCTTTCTGCGCTGCAGACAGAATTGCCATGTGCAGATATGCCAGGGTCACAATCAGCGGCCTCGGCTGCTAAATGATTACGGGGGACCGTGCTCTCAGCTTTGTATTTACGTAGTTGTACTGGACAAGGCCCAAAGGGGGTGTCTCCTTGCCCCGCACAGGGCAATCACTATTCTTCTTCAAAGTCGAAGAGAATTCTCGAATCGTTGCCAGCCTGTAATCCTTGTGTCGCATGTCGAGCTCTTGCCCTTGTGTGCCAGACTGTCGATGCAACCATCCATGAAGCAATTCAACTGATTAAGTGCTTCTTTTCAGTATCATGTACTCATGTCGCGTCTTCTTTTCGATGATGTGCCCGTTGCTGGCATAGTCTGTCTCGCATGTCTGAAATTGTTTTGGGTGGTATTTTGATGCTGACGGATGTGTTTCCCGGTAGAATCTGATCAGTGGGCAGGCAACAGCTGCGGCCCAGAACACAAAGACGGTGGAGTTGCCGTTCCCCCAGATTTGCCGCAACTCGAGGCGAGAGCATTCAATCCACCCTGGCATTCTCCACGCTGCTTGTCAGGTTCGGACTGCATCAGTTCATTGAGTGTCTGCTCTTGATGGCTTTCGAGGCCGTGCTTTGCGTGTCTGCTGTGTCTGAGTTGCGAGCGTGCTTTCCTAGTATCACAGCAGTAAGGGCGCCTGCCACAAGCTCATTTCGTCTGTAGTTTGTGAGGTCATCGGGGTCCGGGGCACCTCCACGCAGGCACAACAGCCGACCATCACCAAGGCCGAAGAAGTCACGTAGCATGTCACGGCCAGCAGAAAGCTTCGTCATGTTTCGCTCGTGGCTCGCTCCCGTTATCGCACCGCGAACCTCCAACTCGTACGCCGCAGCCTCCAGTTTACGTGCGAGGCCGTGTGGCTCTTGCTTTACTTGCGCTGGCAATACGAGCTGAAGCTGAAGCAGGCTGACGCTTCTTGGCCTGTCCTGGCACAGTGCATGAGAGACCAAGGCAAACGAGAAAAAAGAGCAAGAAAGCGCCGCCTGCCAAGAGTGGATCTCGAGCGCAGCCTCTTTTGGAAGAGTGCTGTTGGCTGCAATAACACAACGGCTGGGCAAGGCATGGGCCGAGAAGCTGGGAGTCTCTCCCGACACAGCCACTCGGGCAGCACGTTCAGCGGCCAAATTTCAGAGACTTGTCTGGTTAACTGTTAACCTTAACTTGCAGAACTTGCTGTTTGGGAGCCATCCAACGGCAAAGGAGCGCACAGCCGGCACAATAATACGGTATACAGCAGTATAGAACCAACGAATCAGCAGGTTCGCCCGGCTACAGGCTTTCCCTGTGCTCTGTCCGCCGCTTCGTGTCTTGGTGTTTGGTACCGCCGGGAAGGCGTTGCACCGTACGGCTTGGCAATCTCCAAACTGAAGTGATGACTTTCGACCTCCCAGCAATATTTCGGCAACTCATGCATCCACTCGTGAAGCGGTCTGGTCGACACGCACCCACCCACCCACCCACCCAACCACCCAACCACCCAACCACCCAACCACCCACCCACCCACGCACTCACTCACCCACGCCCACGCACGCCCACGGCCACGCACGCCCACGCCCACGCCCACGCCCACGCCCACGCCCACGCCCACGCCCACGCCCACACCCACACCCACACCCACACCCCCGCCCGCACCCGCGCCCAAGCGAAGACTCTCTTTGCAGCCTTGGAAGAGTGACAAAGATGCATGCATGTGTGTACGTACGTATGTATGCATATGTATGAGCCGATATAAATAAACAGTTATAAATATGATTAGGAACAAAAAATATACAAATGAATAAATAAGTAAATAAATATATAAAATAAATAAATAAATAAATATAAATAAATAAATAAATATATATATGTATATACATACATACAACATTTGTATGTATGCTTACACTTATATGTACATTATATATATATATATATATATAGTCACCCCCCCGTTGACAGACCATGCCCTTTCAACTCAGTCGTAGTGCATGGTCTGTGATCGGGGGGAGGGGGCACTCAGCTTTCGAAAACTCAATTCCAAAATTTCCAAAATTGCCAAAATTCTCTCCCCTAACTTCCAAAATTTCCGAAATTTCCAAAATTTCAAAATTTCAGAAATTTCCAAATTTTCCGAAATTTCCGAAATTTCCAAAATTTCCAAAAAGTCCGCCCTTATGTTTTGGAAGAATCCTGTCGGCTAGGTTTGGAAATTTTGGATATTTTGGAAATTTCGGAAATTTCGGAAATTTCGGAAACTTCGGAAATTTTGGAAATTTTGGAACTTCTGGAATTGATTTTCAATGGGCTGATTGTGGCCCATCGGATGACAGACCATGCACTACGACTCACTTGCAAAGGCAAGGTCTGTTTAGACGATTGTCAGTTTTATATATATATATATATATATCTTTTTTTAAAATTGGTACTCCTACGAATACTATTACCACTACTAATACTGACATTGATCATTTGCTGACTGCCCAAGCTTATACCAGCATTAACACTAATATTTACACTTTTTTAAGCCAATACGAATAGGCACCATACAAACACTAATGATGATTAATACTGACGTTCATACTCCTACGCATATCAATAATTATGCCCATATGGGTAGTAGTGTATTTTAATACCAATACTAATACACACCTGCATATACCAATGTACATAAATATACATACCACTATATTAAAGTACAAATACTTTAGCTCATGCATGTGCTTATCTGTTAGTATTTTCATGTAATCAGGAGTAATACTAATATAAGACAAACGGTCATGCGAATACATAACCTCATTTTAATATTGGCACTAGCACTATTACTAATACCAATCACACTGTTTATACCAACACCAAGATTTACACAAGTATTGATACTCCTACGGATACTACTGCGTATACTCTGATGCTGTTAACCGCAATGCTGTCACCAATGCTAATACTGACATTGATAACTTGTTGAATATCCAAGATAATGCCAGAATTAATACCATTATTAACACTTATACTAAGGCTAATGCGACTATGGACAATCCTAATACGAATATTAACATTAATACTCCTACGAATACCAATAGTCATATTCATATTGAAAACTAGTACCATTACAAAAGACACGTGCATATGCTAATGCACACCAGGACACATACTATTATCTTAACATGCCGATATGTATCAATGCATTCATGTACTGATGTTTTAGGACAAGCATATACCCATATACCAATGTAGCAATACACTACTTGTTAATGTGTGAATATACTATACTAGTATGCTATTCTACTAGTATGCTACTATACTAGTATACGACTACTGTAATATGCAAGTATACCGATATGGCAGGTTAGTGTACTAATATGACAACATACTGATATACTTCTAAATCTTTCGACAATACACGTATATTGCATGTACTAGTATACTAATACACTAATGTACGAATATACTGGTCTGTTAATATACTAATATATTGATACAGCAATATACTAGTTTACTCATGCATCAGTTGTACTAAAGTATTAAATCTACGAATATGCAAGTATACAAATATGTTGCCTCTCGAACACATCAATGTATTGATATACTAACCTGCTGATATACGAAACTATCAGAAGAGTAACATATCGAAACTAACTCTAATTTTGATACCAATACTAGCACCTCTGCCATTATTAACGGTTATTAAACCCAGCATGAAGACTGATACTAATACTAGCAGTGGTACTGTTACTGGCATTGACACTGGCACTAACACTAAGACGAAAACGAAGATGAGCACTAACATTAATGTATACTTACGACTGTCGATATATACATATATATATATATATATATATATATTTACGGTAAACACTAATACTATTGCTGATACTAATACTAATACCAATATTAATACTCATTCTCATCCTATATCAATGCTACCGCAAAACTCATAACTCACGTGTCGCGCGTCTGGTCCATGCGTCCTCAGTACATGGCATGTTAAAAGTATACTTGGTATATGTACTGTAAAGGATTTGCTTTACAGATTGTCGTCATGTGTGGTGTGTTTAGATACAGTATCTCAGCCTAGTCACCGAACGAGAGTACACTATCACAAGGGCATGGTCTGTAACGGGGGGGGTGAGCATATATATATATATATATATATATATGTGTACGTGTGTGTCATGTGCTGTTGTACCAGCCAGACGGTGTATTTGTGGGACTTACAGGCAGTCTTGAACCATGCTTTACAGAAGCCCATCACTTCAAGGTCCTGGATGTGCTTGATGAGAGGCCAGGGCTTATCGGAAGAGTTTGTAGGCCGTGCCGCACAACAATGATTGAAGACCTTTCCGGTTCTCCCCTGCCGTGGCTAGGTCCTGTCACTACAAGGATGCACTTCATCAGCTCTTTGAGGACTGGTATTTGGCTTCGTGCAGGTGGAGGCGCTCCTGAATAGGAGGTGGACTAAGAATGCCGCTCGCTAGGATCTGCCTGAGCTCTTCAAAGACGTGCCTTTTCCCAAGCAGGTCGTGGAGGCCCACTTGCCATTCTAGCATTCTAGCATTACCGTTGGAGAGAGCTAGTGTATGGCATCGTCTTGTGCGTGTCCCCGAAAATGCCAGCCATGTCAGCATACGGTGGGTTTCTACGGTGGGTTTCGCGTTACACTTTCTATGCTCACCTGGTAGCATCATGGGGCCCTGCTGCTTGCCCCTTCAGCTGTATGCACTTTCCCCATTCGGGAGTGAACCCTGTGCGAAGGCAGAGGGAGCAGTGGAGGTCAGCGGGCCTTGTCAAGGATGCGGCCGCACTCGGCGCCGCGGTCTCCCAGCAGCATCTCTGAAACAGCTCAATGAGTCGGGGGGCAGCTTTGAGCCTGGAGCTTTAGTGTCTCGGTATGAAGAGAAATGAAAGTTCAGTGTGCGGCAGAACAGCATATGCAAACGTGCACAGAAATTGCAGCATTGCTCGCCTGCTGTTGCGGCCGCCTCGACTGAAGAGGATAAGCAGGTGACACATGAGAAAACGCAATGATCCGTATTGACCTCCGTAGCAACACGTCAAACAAAAGCATGTCAAAACTGCCACATCTATGAGCCTAGCTGTTGAAGCCATGCACACGCACACATACATGAATCGTACATACGCATACTTTCTAGATGGTGAGATAGAGGAAGTTTCTCTGCGAGGTTGGGGCACACTGGTTTGCCCAGAGTGCTCGGACAACTGGGACGTGCTGGAGGCGCATTGCAATAGAGCATGAGACTTGCGTTATGTGGAGCATGGGAATCGCGACGTTTGCCGGGGCCTTGATGTTGATTGCGGCCAATACAACAATTGAATCATGCGATCTCTCGACAAGAACCAGAGCAACCACGCGAACAGGCTTCTTTCGGCACGCCTGTATGCGTATCCCAGCAGCAGGGATGTGCGGAGTGTCCGAGAGCAGCACCAGCGGCGAAGGTTCCAGGCTTGTTGCGGATATTCTGCATATCATGTTCTACTAGACTCCCTAGACAAGCCTGGCAAGAAGAGCATCTGACCGATGTGAACGTCTATTTGGTATTTACTATCTCAACATAAAGTCATATTTAAACAGGCAAAATTCAGGACAGGGAAGAAGTAAAGGAAAAGTAACCATGTCGAGAGAAGGTAAAACACGGTTACAGGGAAAGGGTAAAAGAAAGGTAACATCTTCGAGAGAAGGTAAAGTAAAGCTACCGGGAAATCCTTCCGGCCTCTCGGATGCACCTCCCCCTCTCCCTCCTCCGTTGGAAAGTTGGCGTTTCCTAAGGAAAGGCTAAAAAAAGAGGTAACGCAAAGGTGAACAAAAGGTGAACACAAAATAAACAATGCCACATCAAAAAGGTGGTGCTAGGGCTTGACTTTGCCCTGAAGCCAAGACGAAAAACTTAAAACTGCCGCACACTGTAAAACTTAGCCGCAATCTTATCGGATGTTGCCTAAGTGCGGTCGGAGACTGAGCACAGTATGTCGTTTCGGTGCCATTCGCAGAGAGCGCCTTACTGACTTGTATAATTGTAGAATAGCTGGTTGACATCGAGCATGAGTTGTGTCGTTCACGGGTGCCGTTCTTCTAGGACCCGGGCGGGGAACTGCATACGAAAGATTGCAAAACGGTGTCCGGGGCCACCCGTGTGGCAGCCGCGGTGGTGGGCAGAGACTGCAAGACACCACTGCAGAATCAGAGTACAGCTTTTCACAGGCTCCGCTTCACTTTTGTGCCATAGGCTGCTGCAACAATGCCAAACACCGAAACACCCTAGTCTGAAGATCCATGCTTTGCAGCACTGTACGGGGTGTTTCTGGTTGATGCCAAAAGAAGCCCCCGCCTTGGCAGGCATTCTGGCAGAAAGCTCAGGCACCTTTCTGAGCAAAATGGCCATTCTAATAGCATGCATAGGCTTCGTGTACTCAGCCATGCAGGAGGCAAAAAATAGCATGCATAGCTGAACTTTCGCAGCTTGATTTCGATGCAAACGGCCTCTTCAAGGTGGAAGATCCTTGCGGAAAGCGGATGAACCTGATCCAGATGCTGCCTCAAGTGACCGGAGCTCGGCTGAGGGAGAGCAGCAGGAAGTAGAGGTGGGCTGGCTCTCTTTGTCTCTTCTCTCTCTCTCTCTCTCTCTCCCTCCCTCTCTCTCCCTCCCTCCTTCTCCCAGTTTTTCTGTAAGTTTGTAGATCTTTTCGTCGGTCTCTCTGCTCTCCGTGTCTCTTCAGCGCGGGGTGCGGATCCTTGTGATGATGCTTCTGCTCCGCAATCGTGCTTCGACGGAGTGTTTGTCCACCACGTTCAGGTTCAAGGCACCTGGTGGCCGGATTCAAGCAGAAGGGGAGGTTCTGACTTGATTGCTGGCTGCAGCCTTCGCATTCGCGCAACGTGCTTACCAAGCGTTTGGGTGGCATGCGGCCTTGGACAATTGCAAACAAAGCTCCTTTCGGCATTTTTCCAGAATATCTGTCAGTAGAGGCATCTGGAGTGAAACGGCCGTTTTAAGTACCCAAGCTCTTTTAGAGATGTCTTGGGTGAAAAGGTTTCACTATGGGCTCAGGAGTCTTTCAGCTGCAAAGCACGACATCGCAAAGTTACCTTCGTGCAGCCGAGAGCAGTTCCAGACATCGATGCGTGGTAGTCAGACTCAATGCGCCCACAGTCTTGCGCTGTCTCCCTGTAGAGAAGGCGCAAGGGACTGCCAACAGAAGCAGAGCTGCACAGACATTGACTCTGATGATCTGCTGTATGGCTTTCCCGATCTGCTTCTCTAGCGACCCGGCATCATGACGGCGTGCGCCAGGAGAGGAGGCTCCGTGGCACGTCCTGTTGTCTTGTTTCTAGACATATCTTCGGCCGAGCCGAGCTCCGATGAGGAGATTGCAAGTGCATGCTTCTAGAGGGAGAGAAACGGGATGAAGTCTCAGGCTATTGCTATTGATGTTGTTGCATGGCAAGCGCGGTGTATGTGGCTATGGTGATGCTTGCAACGGTGCATGGATATACATACATATTATGTATGAATGTCCTCCAGGGTGCCCGCAGCGTTTGCTTCAGCGGTTCGGTTCGATGTCATGATCGGGACAAAAGGTTTATGTAGTCGACATTCCAAGTCGTAAGGCCGATGGCAGGAATGCTTAGCAGGCTTAGCATTTTTGCTCTGCCGATAGTGTGTTGTCCGCGCTATCGGAAGCTCTCACTCGCCAGCTTCTGACCAACCTGCACATGTTTTGTGCGTGGGATCTGAGGCACAACTCAAACCTGCGGCGCGCATCATGCACCGCGATAGATAACGAACACCACCATTCGCTTTTTGCTGGCTTCTCAAGCCTTGCGCATTGTTTGCGCCATGGCTCGGGCTTGGGCCTACCATCCTCAACACTGGTTGCCGGCTCCGGACTTCAAGGCACGGGACGGGAGCTGAGCGCTGCTTCGTCGCTTTCGTTGGGCGCCCAAGGCTGGCTGTGAGAGTCAGAGATGAGATTTTCGTGCGAGGAGCGATGGAAGTGAGAAGACTTCATGGCTGAGGTCGGAGGGCAATTCTCTAAGAGATGTAGAATCTCTATAGTGCAGCTCTGTGTCAAGCAAGTGTCTTTCGAAGGGCAGCAAGGTGTGCATATGCAGTGCTGCAGTGCTACAATGCCAAGGGTTGGGCGTAAGTGGCAGCTGCAAGCCCCGCTTTGGGGCCAGTCACGCAGTTGCGAGGTTGAAAGGTCGTCTGAAATGGACCGAAGCACTGTAGTCGCTGGACTCCTTTGGATTGACTTTCACCCGTCGTTCAAGTCTCAAGGGCGCAGCCGGTTGGGAGACATTCCGGGATGAGAGCTTCGAGCCTCGGGTGGCACTGATGGTTCCATGCTCGCGAGTGTATTACTTGCTGTTAACCCTGCGAAAGGCAAAAAGCAAAAACAAAGATTAGGATTTGAAAGTTCGGAAAACATAGAACACAAGGCGAGCTTCAGTTTCCAAGGCAATGCACTGTGAAAAAGGTAAACCATTAAAGCAGTAAAGCAGAGAGGATTCCCTGACCAACCGATCAGGTAAAGCCAACAGGTGGCAGTACTAAACGCTTCCTTCTCGCAGGAACAGTTCTAGCAGTGCTTACCTTGTTGCTTGTCATTTCCGCTTCGAGGGTCGTCTTTCTTTGCGCTTCGAGGGTCAGTTTCTTTCCTCCTTCTCAGATACCAGCTTTACTTTGCTGGTGTCTTGCCCTTTTCAGGTCTTCGTTTGTTCAAGGTAAACTCCAGCCGGTTAGAAGCAGTTAGCAAAGGTTATTCAAAAAGTTTCTTTCGTAGCCCTCGCCGTCACCAAGACGTTGACTGCAAGCCCCAGCAAATCAGAAGCTGCCAAGGCTGTGGACGCTTCCATTCGCGTTGCATTTCATGCGGGCTTCGTTGCCAAAACACCCCGAAAAATTCCGTACGCCAAGGACGAGGTGCCGTTGCTGATCGAGCCGCCTCCGCCGCCTCCCCTGGCCCGCGAGGTGGAGGCTGGGAGGGAACTGCGTTTTGTCATAAAAACACTTCACGAACGCTCAACGCTGTAGACAGAATCCTTTCAACGCTGTCTTGGCGAGGAGGTGGGCAGCTTGGAGGAGCTCCTGGACCAGGGGGAGTCGCTCCTCCAGGCCAGGGGCCAGGCTCAACGGAAGTGCAAGCGAGTGCCTGCCGCGCCGCGCCCTCAAGGAATATCGCAGCGGGAGCCCGACACTCATCGACCGCCTCTGCACCCCGCAGAACGTGTGCGTGCTGGCTTCGGCCTGAATGCCTGCAGCGGCTCTTGCAGCGACTTTCTGTGAGACGTTTTCCACGTCAGCGAGCGATGAAGCGAGAGGGAGAGACCTTCCAAGGTGGATCATGCCACCAAGCAGCCTTCAGAAGGCCACCGCAGACTCGCTTGCTCTATAGTTCTTGTGTGTTCATACGTAGGGAGACATGTCTACCTCGTGGTAGTGCTCGCTGGGCTATCTTTGTCAATCTTGTACCTGCAATCTTGTACCTGTCCAGAACAAGAGCAGGAACTAGCTGCAAGTTTCAGTGAAGATGCAACTGCGAGCTGGACCCTGAACTGCCAGGCGTGCCACCGGACAAGGCGCGGCTGCGCAGCCACACAGCCTGGAGCCCAGCAAATCAGCTGTTCGGCTGTAAGGCTGTAAGGTTCGGAGAGGCGGAGTGTACGGAACATAGTGCCGGCTCAAGTCTTCAATGCCCGGCCCATCAGGCGCCATAACGCCCTGCTATTCAACCAACCCTGGTTACGTTCGACGATGCACCCAACACCACCAGAAAATACTCAAGCCCGATGGCACAAGATCCCATGAGCCATGACAGCCATGAGCCAAGCGAGCGCCTACGACATAGAGCTCTTGGGCCTGCCGGAACTCGGGAAAGACGAAGCATACTTGCGAGAGTTTCTGAACGCTGCATGGTGGTCCAGTCTTGGCGACGCGGGTATAGAGCAGGAGGATGTGAAACCAGAGGACGATCCCATCAAAGAGTGCCGATTCAATCATGGCCAACTGGTTCTTCGCTTCAGTACGCCTGAAGCTGCATCTTTGGCTCTTGGCCTTAATGGGCTCCGGTGCAGAGGCTGTGAGCTAAGGTTCAGCAGGCCCAAAGGCTGCACTTCTCACAAGGTGTCCAAGCAACCACACCAGGTGCAGGTGGCCGATCTGCGTGCCATCCTTGGCTTCCAGAAGGAGGCTTTCGCCATGCTTCAAGGATGGCAAGAAACCATCTTCAGAGGCAGCAGTTGTTTGCAGGTCTTGGACGCGTGGTCAAACGTGCTACCAGCCAGCCACTACGACATGTTGGCGGTGGACAGGTCTGCCTCCAGCGATGAGATCCTTGCCTCCTTCCGACACCAGCGTTCGTTGGGTTGTGACCGAGGGAAATTGCGAGAAGCCTATAGAATACTGACGTGTGCCGACGCGAAAGTCCAATATGATCACGAACCCGAGCAGTTCATGTGGGATGCTCTTCGTGCAGCGAAGCACGATTACTTCCAGCCAGCCTGCTTCGTGCTGCGCAACTTGGACCGCCTGCGCAAAGGGCTTGTACGACGCATCCAAGTGCTGCCGCGCCAAAGCTCGCACCTGCGGCGTGAGAAGAAAATGATCGTCAACAGAAGTCGGGGAGCTGACCTATGCATCGTATCATCGGAGCCGCAAGCCAAGTACCTGCCATCGGAAGTCTGGGTTGCAGGAGAACGAGTGCAACTGTCAGACGTGGAGGCGTTTGTACATCGAGCAGGTGACGAGGCCGACGGATTGCGGGCCACGCCAGAGCGCACCATCCTGACTGTGCCTAAGCCATTGCTCGACAAGCTTCCCCACGGAGCAGATAGGCAGAACCTCATTGAATCCGTCAAAAGCACAACAGGACTTTCCTTGACCATAGTGGAGGATCGGATGATTTTGGCGGCACATGAGCGAGGGCCGCAGGGACAGCATCTTCTCGCCCAAGCCATCGCGATCCTGCAGTCGCAAGTGATTTGGAGAGCGACTGTGCAGTTCAATCATGGCACTTATCAAGCGTGGGGATATGCGATGTGGGCCGAGAAACTTGGCATCCAAGTTGTACCGAATAGGGAGCCAGATCGCGAGGAAGCATGGGAGGTGCTTGCAACAACTCAGCAAGAGCTGCAGCTTCCGTCGCAGGACAGCTTTCCTCAAATCGTCACTGCGACCCTCAGCGCTTTACAAGAGCGTGCCGATGTCGGCAAAACGGTGACCAAAGTCTTGACTTCGAAAGTTGTTGCCTTTGAAGTGAAGGAAGCCAACTTCGAAGTTCGTGCAAAGGCAATCTGCCTGATGATCCGGTTGTGGGCACGGAAAAGGCTTGCACACAACCTTGGGGACTTTGAACAGGACTCTCTCTTCAAAACTCTTTGGAAGCTGGCGATAATGTTGGCGGATCCGCAGGCGCACCAACTTCTACTTATTTGTGGTCAAGTTCTTCAAGCGCTGCACCTGGCTTGGATTCAGTTTCCGGACAAGAGTGGCTGGCTGCCGTGGGACATGCTCCTGCCTGCAATAGGCGACCAGCTCGGAGAGCTGCTAAAGCGGGCAGCTGAAGCAGAACACATTCAAGTGCGCTCGAATTGGCAGCGCAACGCCAGCATCGCAGCATTCATCACAGAATACATCGCTTTCCACGAGTTTCGTACCTGTGAGACCGGCATCCAGGCGTCCAGCAAAGCTTGGCGCTCTGCTCTCAAGCAGCCGACCTCGGTTGCGGCCCAAAGCGCAATGCCAAGCGCTACAGTTCAGCGACCTCCCGAAGCAGCCGCAGCCACAGCCTCCCCTCCCAAGCGAGAGAGAGAGCACACCGATGACGAGAAGCCAGAAAGCAAGGTGCCTCGAAAGTTAATCGAGGCGTGCGTGAGAAACGCGCAAGCACAGGTTCCCCTGTCACAGTCGCGTCAGACAGGACCCGAGCAGCTAGAGCAAAAAGTCAAGCCAAAGACAAAGGCAAGGCCGAAGGTTTGCCAGAAGAGTGCGGAAAATGCCAATACAAACAACAAGCTAGCAGAGAAAGTCACGAAGGTGGTTGACCTGGACACGGATGAGGACACCACCCCTCAGAAGCCCACGCTCACGTCTCCTCCTGCAAAGCCCGCCAAGTCCACCGGCACGTCTCCCCCGGCATCCACGCCGCAATTCGAGCAATGGTTGAAAGGCTTCGATGACGGAAAAGGCAAATTCGCCGATCTGTATTTGCAGAAGCTGCAGGAGCAGTTCAGTGACATGGAACAGTTCAAGGAATGCGCACAGGAGTTGTGCAATTGGCAGGGGCAGAAGCTGCAATTGAGCCACGTGGAGTCAGAGTTCTGGACGGCGCTCGACATTAAAACCATGGGCCACAAGCTAATGTGGCTGAAGCAGCTTCAGAGCCTTTTCAAGACTTGACGAAAAACAGGAGCGCCACACGCTGTGATTTCGTTCCGGTTGTGACTAACGTCTTACACTTCTTGCTTTCACTCAAATGTCAGAGTCTCGAATGAACCCTGAAGCCTCCAGCTGCTGAAGGCTGCGGAGTTGCTGTCCTTGTGCAGTCCGAGTCCGGGTGCTGAGGCTTCTGCTTCCGATTTAAGCAGTGGGGTTTGGATGGGTGAAATGTTGGGCTCTTGTGTTTGTCCGTGGTCATGGCATTGCCCTTGCCCTGAGGGCAACCAGGACGAGCCCTGCAAATTCCGTTTGTCCCAAGCCTTCTTCGTCGGGCACTCGGCAGAGCATTTCTACAGACAGAGATCTGCTGTTGACATTTTTTTGCCTGGAACGAGACGGCACCGTCTAAATGCTTGAACACTGTCTGTGCGAAGATTCGGTGTGCTGGGTGTTAGCATAGGGTTTTGCAGCCTGCTTGCGTGTTACGTAGGCAACATACCAAAACAGATCAGCAATGCTGGCACACTTGGTTGTTCCGTTGGAGGTGAACGGCACGGCCGCGAAGCCTCTCGAAGCGCTGCGGCTTCCTCACCACGTCGAAAGCTGGAGTCAGTTCTACACCACACTTGGAGCTGCCACAGCTGCGAGGTGGAGCTTCCTTTTGGATGCCCAGCTGGATCCTGCAAGGTCAAGCTGGACGGCGCGGGGCGGGAGACGAGCGGGCGTGTGCAGTATATACTCTGTGTGAGGGATGGTCGGAGGGGGTTTGCTGCGAATGGTCAATGGTCTTTCAAGAGTGACACGTTCCATTCCGCTGCATTAGGCTTTTGCAACACTCGCTTGCTGGAGTGTATCGCGTTTTGCTGTATGCATGGGGCATCTCCTTTCGGCACGTGAGCACCTGAAAGAGGTGTTGGCTGGCTACTTTTGCCACATCGCATCGGCCTTGTACCATCGATGCCCAGACCAGGCGCTTACGTGCACCTCTGGTGTTGATTGCAAACTTGAATCGCGATCCATTGGTGACATCGTGGGCCGAAGGTCCTCGAGTACTTGCGCCAGCATGGGCCAGATCAGGCCTGGGAGTTTTGCGTGGAGACGGTCCATTGTTTCTTCAGCATCTTCGGCAGCGGGAGTCAGATTATGTCAGATTGAGCTGCAAGCTGCGACGAGAGTGCGTTGAGGCATCAACCAAAAGCGTGTGGCAACATAGCAAGATCAGTTCAGACGGTTCCGTTCAAGTACCAGTGCCGCGGTACGAGAGGGCAGAGTCCAGGCACCACGGACGAGTCCACATGCGAATGGGGTCTGTGCGAGAGAGGTCCTGGAGTGCTTTCTTCGCTTTCTGGGAACGAGGCAGCCTGCTCCTTGAGTCAGGGTCCAGGGGTATGGGGGGACTCCCATTAAACGGTGTTCTGAAGATAGGGTTAGGCCTTTCGGAAAGATTCCGGAGAAGTGGTGGTGGCAGCTGATCCAGGGAAACGAGTCTACCTGGGACATGAGCTGGAGAACAGGTTGGCTAGCAGTCGGTTCGTGGCGATGCGCTTGAAAGATCTGTGCACGTGCGGACACTGAACGCCCACTTCGCTTCGATGTAAAAGCAGAACTTAAACGAGATCAGCTGCATATCTGTTCGGGGCCAGCGAGTGCCATTGCAACCTTCTACACGGATTGTGATGTCATGCATGCAGGCGAGATGTTACATGAGCACAACTACAATCGCTTCGCGTCATCCTGCTCGGGATGCAGCCGGGGAGGGGGGGAGGGTGCGAGGTCGCAGGTAGTTTGCCCAGTTTTTGAGCAAATCCGCGCCCCCTCGCCACACGGTCAAAATCTTTGGTCCTCGCGGCCTGCAAGCCAAAATCCAATCTTCAGAATGGGAGGGTCAGTGGCACTCAAGTGATGGGTCGGGGAGAGGATTCAGAGCAGGGGAAAGGGTCCAATGATCACTCCGGCCGTGGCCGAGGCGAATTAAGTGCATTGGCTGCTCGCATCAGCATAAATCGTGGCAGTGGCCGGTGTCAATGCCACAGCTCATCGCACTATCGCACACCACTCACTCATTGTCTGCCTCTTATCTGGCACCACTTGCATCATGCCTGCCGCCAGGTGCATAGCAGAGCTTTTTGCCACGCTGCTGTGCGCCCCAGCAATGACCTTGGGCAGACGGAGTTGAAGGGATACGAAACGGCGTTTGAAGTCTCCCGTGAGGACCCAGAGCATGGCCTCTTCCGAGTGGACGGGCTGATCCTCCGCCTGGTACAGCATCTGTCAGGCTGCGGTCTCCGGCCACGAGCCTGACGCGGGTCGGTGTTACGCCGACGCGAACGGTGACAGGTGACGTCCCTCCCAGCGAAGACCCGAACGAGAACGTCTCCCTCGTCCTCAAGACCTTGATAACTCAGGCGGGCTCAGTCAGTTGAGTCAGTTGAGTCTATGCACAGTATGGAGGACAGTGAGTTGGGTCCGAAGCTGCTTGTAGCCATGGCAGGATTTGAAAGCCTGCTAGAGAGCTATCTACAGTTCCGCAATGGCCGATTCACTTCAAGCCTTCAAGCCAGTGACGGTTGTGTGTTGCAGGCATGTGCCAAGAAGCTTTACTTCGCCTCGGCGGTGGTTGATCAGATGCGCGGTACTTCTGCGTCGAGGGTAGCCTCTGGTAGGTCTCCAGTATTCAGCGAGCCTCAACGAAGTTTGTTTGCTGGGGATGAATCATTCGAGGTCGTCAGCCGTCGTGGTGGAGCAGCTTGTCAGCAAGGCCCTATCGGGTTCGCGCATTGGATGCCTCCCAAACGACCCCCCCACCTTTCCACCGGTTTCCTGTGGAGCCTCTGCAGGGTGCTCTGAGTCGTCATGCGCCCCACATTGGATATCTCCTCCTGACGGCCTTTCGCGTCAATTGGATGCCCTTTTTAATATGGGGGTTGCCTCTGCGGGGCACCTCCTGGTGGTAGTCGTCACATCAGACCTGCCGACCCAACCACACCTCGTACCGCCCCAGCCACCCGGCACCCTCCCACAGCTCATTTGTCTTCTCCCCGACATGCTTCTCCTGTGGTTACCTCCGCAGGCTAGTTGTGGACCCCCCCGATACCTGCAGGCTCCTCCCCGCCTTAGCTCGTCTCTTCTCCTGCGGGGGAGCTCTTTGCAGGTGCATATCCGATATGCGTGCCTGATTTCGCCAGGCATGCGTAGAGCCTGCTGAGCTGGCTTCTATGGCGAAAGCTGCAGCCGCTCAGATGAAGCCAGGTTCGAGAACAGACTCCTGCCGATTAGAATTACTGTCATGGTGTCGCTTGGATTCCACTCAGATGCGATGGAAGACAACCCCATATTGCTTAAGCACCCCCGGCTGTTGAAAAGCTAAGCAGTCAAGCAGCTAGTCCATTTTCCCAGCCCTTCAATCTTGACTTCCAGGTGTAGGTACTGTTAGGTATTGCATCCGTTCGGTGTTGATAGTTGTGTTTCATTCGGTTTGCATGGCTTCGTGCAGGACAAGAGAAGCACTGAACGCACATGGCCCAAGGCATCCGTTCTCGTCGGAGCAGTCTCCCAGATTCTTCACGCCACGCCCGGGCCACAGTCGGAAGCTGGAAGCCGCGAAGCTCCCTTTGCTCAAATGTGGCACGGACCAACCCACATTTGCATCTCCTTTGCCTCTGAGCTGCCTTGCCTGTCGATCTTTCATTCATCGATTTGTGCAGTGTTTCGCCTTATCTTGACCGTGTCTCCTTATGTTCTTGTGGTTTTCATTCTCTTGCCTGAACATGACCCAGACTAAGTCTCCCTCTCGCTCATCTTCCTTGTCCAGCTTGTGTGCCTTGGCTCTCTTCTCCTTCTTATCGCTTGCACAACCGGGTGAAAGCGAGCTGCTGACATGAATATGTAAGAGGCCCAACCCAGCGCTGGCCAGCCGTGGACCGAACCTGCTACAACCCTTCGAGGAGGACAGACTTGGTGTGCATGTGGAGGTTCGCCTGGGGAGGGTGGGTTCTGCCGCCGGCAAAAGACGGGGTGTGGCACTGTATGTTCTTGAATGCGCTCGCACCGCACGCCTCCGAAAGTTCGGTGTGACACGTAGACGTAGAGCTGGCAGTTTGTTTCCGGAATGTTGCTATTTGGTACAAGAGCAAGCCGAAAGCTTTGTCCAGGGACCATGCACTGTTGGCGGAGAAAATTCCAGCTTTGGTTGGAGGCAGTGCTGCAACAGGCAGTCCATGCACAACCCGCATCAGCTCGCACATGTGTGAAGGAGGAGGGCCATGGACAAGAGACCGAGTCGGATGGTGATGGTGGCGGCCTCGGACTCATCAAATGCAGCTCGAGACGATGGAGTGGAGTGCACGTTCCCTCGCATCGGCTCTAGTTTATTGGTCATTGCTCGGCACTCATGCAGAGTCTGTAGAACAAGCCCATCTTGTCTTCTGCTTACACGGGTTTCGTGCCTGAATTGGGAGAGCACGCGACCAAGACTCACGGCGCGCTGCTGGCATTGCCCTTGCCGATCCGCCTAGTTTCCAAGGATTTAAAGCATAGACACGATCATGACAAGTCTCATGCGACCCGCGAGCTGCGAGGCTCGGCATCGAATCGTCTTCGTTATGAGAGAACACCGGAAACACCACTGGCGACATGGTGGCCGTTTCGTTTGCCTGATGGCAGGTTCAGCACATTTGCCAGCACTTGCCTGCCCTTTGTGCTTGGCCCAGCTTCGCGAAGTGCTGATTCCACAGTTCATCTCCATGCATACGAGTTTCCATCTGCGAGTCGTTGCATGTTTGGTCGGGTTGCTGCGATGATTTGCGCTGCAACATGTCTGAAGGGATAGTTTTTCGGATCTAATGTGAGGGGCCCCTGTTCTCCCGTGTTCAGTAAGACTCGGGGGGCATGCGGCCATGCTGTCGGTAACTTTGTTTCGTGCTTCTATTGTGTATGACGTTGCCTGCGACGGTTTTTCTTTGCTCAGCTGTTGAGCAGCAACTGAGGCGATAGTTTTCTGGGTGCTTCGGAGGACAGGGCGAACCTGCGGCGAACCTGGCTGATAGCGAGTGGGGTGGTCCTACTATCCTGCAGGAAGAGGGCGAGGGCTCGCCTAGTGCCCAGCAGCTCTGGGCTGAGCAAGGGCTTTGACGGTTGTTCCTTCTTGCAATTAGGGCAGGGCAGAGGTCTCGGCGAACTTCTCCCTCCTCGTGTCAAACTCCGGATTTTTCCCCCGAGCTGAGGTGTCAAAGGCATGTGTCTAGATTACGGCCACGAAAACAGATGCAGTGGGCTCGAGGTTCACTCCCTCCCACTCCATCCTGTTGAAATTGCTCTCTAGGGCCCTAGGGCTTCTGAAATTAGGAATAGAAAGAAGGATTGTTCTCGAAACGGAGGCTTCGCCAACGGGTTTTAAGACCACTCCTGTGGGCTGGGTTGCGCTAGATGGGCTGGGGTGGGCCATGCTGGGCTGACGACGGCAATGGGCAACAGTCGTTCGAAGGCCGCAGAGGCCAGTAGTCGTGCCAGCGAAAATTGCTCGAGCGGGGATCAGCATGGAAGCCTTCTGTTTCGGGTTCAGGATCAGGCAGAACAGAAGGTGGTGCTGGTGTCGTTGTTGGTGGTTGTGCAGTGCTTTTATCGTCCTCATCCTCGTCCTCGCCACGGGGCCTCCCGTAGTGGCGCTTGTCATGACATGCGAATCCATCCTGTTAGGAGGACAAGTCGGACAAGCAACATCGGCAGAAACAGCACTAGCAGTGGAAGCTGTCCCCAGGACCTTGCCATTTTTCGTTTGCTACTTGTTGCTAGCCCTGAGTTGGTCAGTTAGATAGGTCGTTAAGCGCCGACGAGTCAGTTCGCTAGTTCGTTAGTTCGTGAGTTAGTTGGTCGGTTGGTTTGCAAGTCGGCTAGCCAGTAAGTCAGTCAGTCAGTCAGTCAGTTAGTCAACTGGCTAGTTTGTTGGTCGGTCGGTCGCTGGTTGGTCGGTTGGTTGGCTTGTTGGTTAGTCAGTCAGTTCGTTAGCTGGTTCGCTAGTTGCTTCGTTAGTTCCTGCATTAGGTTGTTAGGAAAGTAAAGGCTGTCACGAATGCGCTTGCCTGGCTGACCCGAATGAAGTTATGGGACTGTAGATGTCCCCGGCGAAGGACCCGTGGAGGAGTCTACCTGGGACAGGGGTCTTGGAAGGGCTATTCTGCGTATGAACAACAGAAAGTTCCACGACTTACAAGTGGGCCCAGTGCTTGCGATGGAAATGATAAGGCTACCAACAACAAAGTGAGTGTCTAAGGCATCTTCTTGACGGACAGCGTCTTCGAGAAGCCATTGTACTCCTTCTTGAGGCTTCTTCTTCAACACACGCATTCGGCCTCCTGTGCATTCCGGGCTTGACAGGGATTGCAGGATGCTTGAAGTTTGGATTGCACGGTCTGTGTTGAATATCTAAACCGCTCTGGAGCTTGGAGCTTGCATTGCCCAACTGGCAACGACTATTAGACTCAACGTCTCTGAGCCACGACTCGTACAATCTCTTTTCTCGTGGATTCGTGGCTTTGCTATGGAGCGGTGTGAAGGGTGGCACCCAGCTGGCCGTTTCTGGGTAGGAAGCATGTCCGTGCAGCAACTGCAGGCAGCGGAGAGCGACCTGTGCAATGAGGATTACCGTCACAGAGCTCGTTGGAAAAATCCTAGAACACACTGCAGAAAATTGATTCTGGAGCCTGGTTCCACCAGCAGAGCGGATTGCCACAGCCACGTTCCTGATTGCTGCGTCAGGACTTGTGGAACCAGCTCTTGCAGCTGGCCACGGGATCGAAGCTGCTGGAGGAGACTGCACGTTTCAGGAACTTGCACTTGCTACCAGCTGCTACCACGTTCGCAAATGGCTTGTTTTCTGAACCCGAGCGTAAGCTAGTGAAGAATACAAAAAGGACATATCACGAAACCTCGACATGATCCCCTCATATCCCTCCAAGTGTCGTGTGTTGGGGGTAGTGACATGCAGAGCATCACGCAAATTTGCACGTCTTGCTTCCGACTCTTTGTCCCCTGCTGAATCCTCAGTCCTGCCCGAGGTTTCCCCAAGTCTCGCCTGCTTGTCCCCGAGATTCGCACCGGCTTGAAGAAGTCGTTTATGAGGGAGTGGTGCCAATCCCGCACCGCTTTGGCATACTTGTTAGTCTTGCCAATGCACACCACGAAGACGAGGACTATAACAAAGGCGCAAACTTTGATCATCCGGTCCTTCCCTCTTCCCTTCTCAGTCAGGCTGGAGAGACCCAGAATTAGAAGGATTGCAGCAAGAACCGGTGGGGACAGAAAGGTGGCAGCAATTCTTTGATTTTTCTCCCTGGCGCAGGACACGCTCAGCGCGCATCTCGCTCTCCGAGACGGCAGCAGCAGCGAGAGTGCGGAGGTGGTCCGATCCCACCCTTCTACCTACCCACTGCCTGTATATGGCCCATCCTGAGGTACCTAGATCACTGATGATGTCAGTCGGTCATGGCTAAGTAGTGTATGAGGAGTGCCCTAAGCATATCTAAGCTTGGATTCGTGTGCTCGGCCGGTCGACATATCACGCATCATTGTTTGTACTTGTCAATCTTAGTCAGGGCGCATTCCTTGTGGTTCTTGCCTGTGCTGCGGCAGACACAAGAAGAGCAGCTCTTGAATTGCCACGGGTGGCATGATCCTGTTGGCACTACACAGGGTTCTTTTAACGCCATGAAGGGAAACAGACCCGGGCGTGACTTGGCGAAGCACCCTAAGCTCGCAACGTGGCAGTCATTGCAGTGGGGGCAGGTTTTGGGGAAGAGCCAGCTCATCGCCGATCTTCGTCGTGCTCGCGTTCGGGCCCCTACTTTGGGGAATGTTGGAGGCTGCTGTAACCGCAACTCTTGCAGATTGCCGAATGGGCTTGAAAATCCTTGAAATCGCCAAGGCAGCCCACGAAGCCGAAACTAGCAGGCTTTGCCAGACAACGCAGAGGCTGCAGGGACAAGCTGCTCCGAGACACGACTGGAGCCCTGCAGGGCATTGCTTGTTTGAACGGTTCATGGGGTGATGAGGACTGCATGTCTATGGCCTATGGCACCACTGCTCTTTGGGCTTGCTGGGGGGCACAAGGTTAGACAAAGGGTACTGTCGCGTCAAACATGGTGATGTTCCCTTGTTGCCTGTTTTTGTATCGACATGGTGAAGTCTATCTTTACGTGTCTCGATTTCCATATTGTGCAGATCGTTGAAAGTCGCGGATGGACCGGCGGCCATCGAAGCCGCTTGGTGCAGACATGACATTCCACTTGTCCACCAGTGGCCTCGCAAAGCTTGCAGCTCATTCTCAGAGCTGGCCCGCACTCAGGCCATGTCACTGCTGGTAGAGCTCGCGCGTCTGCAAGACTCCGAGGTGCTCCAGGCTCCGCCTCGCCTCGCCGAAATCATAACCACAATGTGAGTTTTGATAGCAGCTTTTACAGATGCAGCCGATCATCCTAGCATGACCCAGCAGTGCACGGACTGTGGATTTGACAAAAAGACCTCCATTAAAGGTGGGTGTGCTTCTGTCTTCCCAGCCACTTTGAGTTGCCAGCGGGGCTTCTTTGCTGGCACGAAAATGGCACTCTGCATGGCCAGGGTCCTTATCTGCACCAAAGCATTCGGGAATGGGCCCTGTGTAGCACCCCTCCTGAGCATGGTAGTAATCGTCTGATGCGCAGTGTATCGAGCTTCCATCTGGGAGGTCTTGGTGGAAGAGCGGGTCCTGTCGCGGGGCCTGCGCCGCCTCTTCGACCGGTCCTGGGGCGCAGTGATGCTTAACGCCGTGTGGCTGCCCAGCCTGGACCGTGGATTGTTTGGCACCTTTTGGACTTAGACTTCAGATCCGAGAGTGCATCATGCTCCTCCGCAGCGGTAGGTTCTCATACTGAACAGGGCAATTGCAGCCAACAGCAACGGGAAGGAGGTAGCAGCTTGCGCTGACTTCGTTGTGGCCGCATCGCCGCGGATTGTGACTGCACTCATTCTCTACCGTAGCTGGGCGCAAGTGCAATCGAATTCTGCAGCGCCAAGACCAGAGTTGACCCGCTCCCGTGGCTCAGGTCGCAGCTTTGTGCGTGGAAATCATCCGAAGCCCCGAGCCGAAGGGCAAAGAGGCTGAATTCCAGATCTTGCAGTCTTTTGTCATTGCAATCTTTTGTCAGGCCTTGTCAGCCGGTCGGTTGTTTAGAGTACGTGTCTACGATGGAGCAAACCTGCAGTAGGTTTTGCGTTCAAAGGCCACCCAAACCTGAGGGTAAGTCGAAGCATTTCCGCCAGCTCTCATGGTCAGGCCGCCGAAGCCTTGGTGGAGGAAGGTGGGGCAAGAGCGGCCAATAACTGACTGTCCCGTAAAGGGTTCACTGTTTGCCGAGGCCACCTGCTGGATCGTGTAGCCGGTGTTCTTCGCAGGCAATCCGAAGTTCGAGAGGCCACCGTGGAATCCGCTGTTTACACAAAGACTTCATGGCTGCAGGGCCATGCAGGGCCTCGCACAGAGGGCAAGCTAGACTACTGAATGGTGGACGCCTTGCGCGAGGGATCATAATGCTGCCCTCACACCTGAGCGAGGGGGAGGCGACTTGCTGTTTGCGACCTCTAGCTGTTGCTGCTGTCCACACTGCCTGTCAGCTCGTACACGAGGGCTAGAAAGGTCTGCGTAAAGGGAACTTGCAATATCTTGTTATGCCAGCGCTCCGAGGGGGGGTGTTACGGTGTGTGGGCGACTGGGAGCTTAGATTTCTAAACATCCGCGTCCCGGCCTTGCTGAAACTTGCGCGCAGCATCTCGAAGCTGTGAGTCTGACCCCACATTGCGTCCGCTGGAGAGGCTCTGTCGCATCGGCAAGACCACAAAGGAGAGGGCCTCAGTCCGAACTGGGAGGTGAATTCGTCCCAAGTCTTCAACAAATTTCTCAAAAAACGATCTCCCTCAAGCGGATCGCGTCGGCTGGAGGGCCTTCTGCAGGCAGTTGTACTCCTTGCGATGCGGGTCACGCTGGGATTTCCAAGCTTACTAAGGTGAGCTTTCCATGCCTCAGCTTGCAGCACCACTGCGCAAGATCTGTGCAGGGACCCCAGTCCATTCGTAGGCCGAAGGCAAGGGTGCAGTGCTCCATTGCTCACGGTTTCGTAAGACCTCACCCAAGGCAGAGCTGCGCGAAGCAAGCAGCAGATGGCCGGAGGTGTGGGAGTGGATCTCATGGGTCTTTTGAACTTGAAAGACATCTTCGGGACAGACCGAGGATGACGGAGGGAATGGAGGGTACAGGGGCCTGCTTTGATTTTCCGACGGTCCTCCAGTGTGTCGATTCTTCGCCAAGAAAGCAAGGTGCACATGGGCCTCTTCAATCTGGACGCCTGGACAGAGGCTGTACTCCGTGCACATAAGGAGATGCAGGGATGCTTTGGGCGCGGGGCCGTGCAAGGAGGGCTTCTGACTGCCGAGTGCCATCAGTTAGGATTGCCCGTTGTTGGGTAGATACATCACCGTCGACCAGCTATAGTCCAAAATCTAAATGTGAACATGGTTTTACGGACATGGTTGCAAACTTCTATTGAGATTCTGTTGTTGCGATAAATGTTGTAAATTAAAGAAGTTGTTAGATGATTACATCTACCCGATTACTAGATGATACAAATACCCAGCATATGATCAAGTTCATAGAATGTTAAACATTTTTGATTGTAAACAAAGACTTGCATACACTGGCATTGCATAACGGGATGAAACGCATGCATGACAACTCAGGCCCATATGATGTCTTTTAATGGCATTAAGGCTCATTAAGGACACTCTATGTGGATACCGAGATTGTTAGCAGAGAGCGTACAAGTTCTTGATTGATAACTTATGATATACGAGTAGAGAGAACGGATATCAAGTTTGCCTACGAACATCTCGAGGAAACAACAAGGTTCATACAGGAAAAGATTGTGCTTAGTTCTTTGCAAAGTAGCCTACCAATGATAAGTTAATAGTCAAATGGTATTACTATTGGATGTCCCACCCAACTAGCACGCAATGAGCTTCGAACCGAAACAACCTAGCCTTGCCAGTTAGAGAGTTACATCACCTGGAAACTCAGATGAGTTCTGTATGGTAATGTGTTTTGAGGTATGAAGAGCTATAGTCGTGATTATTGATCTACATTGGGTTAAAGACTATATGGTAAGGTGTTTTAGGGTGTATTGGACTATAGTTGGTTGACGGTGATTTAATTGCCCCAAACGGGCAAGGCCTATCCCAACTCCATCGGGCTGACATTGTGGGCTTCCAGGTCATCCTCCCGGATTTAGAGGAGTTTGCGCAGCTGGAGGAGGAGCCACTGGGCCGAGGACCTGGCATTTCATGTCATCGTGCGATAGAGCATGAGCATAATCACAGCCTGGTCAACATCTTGGTGGTTGGTTTCCGTGTGGCTCCATGATGGCAGAGGCCAGAGATCCGCGCAGCTTACGGTAGCCTGCGTTCTTAAGCACGTGAGGTGGTTTCGACAAGCTTGTCAACGTTGGCTCCGTGGTACAGAACCCAGCGTGAGTAGAGAGCATATACAGGTAAGTGGACACATTTTCGGCAGTTGCTGGTGAGGCCATTCCTGGTGAGGTGGAGTTCACCCCTGAGGCAGCGGGAGAAAGACGTGAAAGCTTGCAGAGAGGTTTTGATCTGCATTCGTCCACATGCACTACATGACAACTTCATAACAACATATACTTTTCCCCCAAAGAAACAGACAGTGGCTATACCCGGCATCCTAATCCCCTTGCTCAACATACTTCGGCAGTTGCACAGCACGGCTTCCAGCTACTTCACTAGTATTGTAAACCTTGGATGGGTTTCGCCTGCTCATCGGTGCTCATGGGTTCCGCAACAGGCGCGACCCGCCGTTACATGACCTGCATACACTTCTGCCGGATGGAGAGCTGTGCTGCTACAGTCTCGCAACTGTCGGCAGGACCTGCGTGACATCGATGAAGATTTCGACACGGAGTCGCCCGGTTGGAGCATGCAAGCGCGGAGTGAGGGTAAGACTGGATCCTGTCAGCATACCTGATGACTCGTGTTTGCTGTGCTGAAGGGAGAAAGGTACTGGTGATCTTGCGTTTCAGTCTGTGCGAGCTTCTGCTCAGAAGCCCATGCACAGTCTGGGGTTTTGCTTGAATTTGAGGTGTCTGCTAAACCTGGCCGGTGAACAGATGCTCCAGCGACAGGCGCCAAGCCGTATCGTTAGGCATGGAATCCGCCTTTCAGCGGCTCAGTTGTCAGAAATCAGAGCATGCAATCGGTGGGTTTTGCCTTGCCGCACGATGCCGCCACTGGACTTCGAAGGGGCTACTTTCCACATGGATGGTTGGGCGGATCGCACGATACATGTTGTGTCACATTCAGCTGCACATGGCAGGCCCAGGTTGCCGCACAGAAAGCCGGCGGGACCGGGCCCGCTCCTGCATTCTGTGAGCCGACAGTCAACAGCCCTGCAACCTCAGCCGCAAAATCTCGAAGCATTATTCCAGCCCCTTGAAAAGATTGCGCTTGGATGGCTTGGCTCGCAGGAACGAGGTTGAGGGAACGTGCGAGACAGCGCCTGTGGAGCTGCCAAACGTGCCCGAGGCAAGTCGGATTTCGTCTTGGGGTCTCAGGTTGAGGGATGTTGAGGGTGTTGAGGGCTGCGGTCGCAGCATGGTGTGAAGTCAACTGAATAGGGCAGTCAATCATCTCGTGGTTCTCAGCACAGTGTCAAGGCCACGACCTGAGACGACCGTAAAGTTGTACAGACTTGCTGTGAGCCTGCAAGCTTCCAATGCCGCTCAATCCTACGACGCAAACCACTTGAGACCGTCAATTTCATGATTGTCAGTACTGCCCCTACAAGTCGTAGCCCAATCTGTCTTATCAGACAAGTACCACTATACCCTCGATTGAAATTAAATCTTACAAACATGGCTGCTTCAATTGTGCAGGAGCCTGGGTCCATGGGCAATCTCGAGCCAGGTGCCTTTGCTTCACCGCTCGTGCCATCATCTTACCTTCTCAGCTGCTTTAGGCCTTGTCATGCCCATAGAAGAGGTCGCACTGTTAAGGCGCCTGCCCCGAAAGTAAAACGACTCGTCATGAGGTCTTCCTGTAAGTGGGAAGGCGAACACGTCTGATTCCACTGGAGATTTCCGCTGAGGTTGGCCTTCCCATTTTGCCATTGGGCACTGAGAGGTACATGTTGAGTTTACTTTCTCCTCCCTTAACATGGTTCACAACTAGCAATTTGCATGCATGCATATGTGCGCACATGGATGCGCAAACATGCACACATACACGATATGCATACATGCATCCATACATACATCAGTGTATCAGTGCCAGTATGTCATATAGGAGTGTGTGTGTGTGTGTGTGCGTGCGTGCGTGTGTGCGTCTGTTTGTGTGTGTTTTTCTCCCGTGACTCGCATGTGTTGCCAGAGCTTCGGACGAGTTCCGATCCTCATGCATCACTTAGATGGCGTGGCCGAAAATTGCCGACGGTTGAAAAGGCGACCGTGCTAATGACTGGGGAAGGGTCTTGGATTACATCGGCCAGGTGCGGGAGACACTGAGTGGGTGTAGGCTTGGCAACGCAACGGCTTTCTGGACGAGTGGGAGTGTGTTGGAACTCCGAGTTGCGAAAGCGCCTGCTGCCGCAGAATGCATATCCAGCATTCTCACAACACAGAACGGTTGTTTTTCTTTCATTGTAATCACGGATGCAGTGGACTCAGTGGCAACAGACTTTGTCTTTTCACGCAGTCTCAGCTGCTGACACCAGACCCGGACAGGAAGCGACAATGATAAGGACTATGGGTGCGGATTTGTGGTTACAGGCGGCCATAGAGCTCCGCAAAACGATTCTCTAAATGACCTCCTTAAATCTCATGAGACCTGCAATCGCTGCCTCTCCGGGGCAGAATCGCTTTTCATACCTTGCAAGTGCTGTCCGTTCCAAGTTTAACACCTGTTTGGACACCTTCATGGTGCGACGACGAAGTTTGCTGAGATGTTATCCACGGTGCCCCAAACCCCACCACCAGATTGCGTTGACAGACCACCGCGACGGTGTCCCAACAACATCACTCTGCTGAATGTGGGGCTACGCCCCGATCCTTTGCTTAAGGCTCGGCTCTGAAAGATCCGAAAATGCGTGGTTCTCGCATCAAGTTGGAGTTGAGTCATGGGACGGGGCGGATTGAGTTGCATCCGTCCAGCATGGTAGCAATGGGTGGAGTATCCACGCGCCGGGCTTTACATGTCGACGTTCTGCTGCCTCGCAGGCATTGGCAGGCAAATTATCCCTAGGCCCACAGCAGAATGTACCTTCCACGCGCAGCGACAACTCTAGGACTACAGATAGACTCAGGCAGTTTCACCTCGCGGCTCTTGGATGAAACGTGGCTCTTGGATGAAACCGTCCATAAGCTCTTGGCTAGTGCACCGGCTGAGCACTTCCGGGCATGGGAGTACCAGGGAAGCTGTATGACATGTAGTCACGGCTTCGCACATCATTTGAGCAGGCACTTCCTTGTAGCGGGGCTCGCCGGGCTCTGTGTCTCATGGGGCTTTGTGCGTCCCAGGGCTCAGCCCGAGACTCAGCGAGGCAGAGCCACAACCATTCTGAGAGTGACTCGGCAGCTCGGATGCTTACGGACTCGAGCTGAAGGGAAACCTGAGAGCGCCTTCCTCGCAGATGCCTGTTTTTCGCAGAGCCCCCCCGAGAACTAATCGTTTGTGTTGCCCAGGCGCACAAGAAGTTTGCGGAGGCAAGGTGAAGAACGTAAACATGGTACTATGTTCTGCTGTGTTTTGTGCTGTCGGTGCCGTGGGGTAGGAGCTGATTGGAAGCCAACTCTTTCGATCTCAGTTGCGTTGCTCGGTGCGATCGAACCATGTAGAAGCAGGTAGGACGATGCTTCATGATGCGGCAAGACTGCCGTCAGTTGTTTGCTCGGCTCCCTCGGTTCGATCCCTCGCACCCCGGAGCTGTAGAGGCACAGAAACACCCACCAACAAGGAAAGGAAAGAAAGAAGGCCTGCTCGATAGTTCCCGAGGTCCGAGGCTCGAACAATAACAGGATAATCCTTCTGCCATGCTAGCTGATTCGTGCTCTCACTAAGTCAGAAGGACAGAACATAGTGCTGCCTTGTGGTTTGCTGCTTCCTGCTGTCGCCGTTTCGAGAATGCTGTTGCAACTCCATTCTCGCCATTCATCTCAATCATAGATTCGCGAATATCCTCGCCGTCGCTCTTGTGTTCTGCAGGCGCCGACCCAGCCCAAGCCGCAGACCAGGCATGGCCGGCCCTGCATCAACAAATACCAGATGAGAAACTGGACAGACATGTATTGAGATAAGACTTGCGGTATGGCATGAGATTGCATACAGCGTTTTGATACAAGGCAGTGCAAGATGGTACACTTTGCTAAGTTGCTACAATTGGCTGCAGTACAACTGAGAAAAATGAATTTCAGTACAATCCGGTTCTGCAAGACCGAACCAACAACGGGGTATAGACAGACGCAAGTATGGACAGGCGCAAGCCGGAATAAGTGTAAGTATCTAACCCTCCTGGAACCTTTTTTTGTGCTCGTCGAATGGTCCTTCAATGATAGTTGAGCATGGACGTGCGCAACTATGAAGCTACCTGGGATGATGTTAGCTTTTTTTTTTTCTCTCTCTCGCTCTCTCTCTTTCTCTGTCTCTCTGACGTTTCCAAGCATGATCCAATTGGAATGTTGGCGGGAGCTTGTATTGAGTTGCACCTGGGAGATGATCTTACAGGCCCCACAGCAAGCTTGGACAAGAGTGATTCCGGGAACGACGAGTTACGGTCGTGTATGTCACTGGCCTTGTTTCCTTGAGAGTGCACTCCACATGGTCAGAATGGCACCAAAGATCCCTCCTGACTCGCGAAGGGAATCGACTGCTGCACCTGATGATGGGCCAGGGGCCAGTTCGCAGGGTTGATGGCGCATCTCTTGCTGGTTCAGAACCTAGCGCAGCACAGCACTCATCAGTGCAAGGCATCCACTCTCGTTCATCGTATGCACACGCACTCATGCTTAATCTGTGTTGCAAGTTGGTCGACAGACCATGATTGCTCCCGAGATTTCAAGCAAGAAGGTCTCAATCAGAACCATCCGATGACGAGGAGGCTGTGCGCTGCCTCAGATGGTCGAAGTTATTTTTGATGCTCTCTCCGTGTGCTTTAAGATGGACAATGGACATGACTCAGCCCCTGCACATGTCAGCACTCCGTAGCAAAGCTGCAACATACCGTGCCGCTAAAGTAAGCCACTGTCATGGACGGCATCCCTCCATGCGAGAGGGAAAAGGATGGCATGGCTCAGCCGAGTTCTCGTCGCTGGGGCTCAGTAGTCGCAAGCACCAGATGGCTGGCAGAACGCGCGGAACGCATGCGAGACACCAGCGCAAAGTCCATCAGTCGTCCGCGATTTGGCTGTTTTCGATCCCGCCATCTAAGGGCACGAGGTCTCGCTGGGCGGACGTTTCGACGGAGTTCTCCAGCAGGCAAGGCAAAATTGGGCTCGAAGCACTGGTCAGGGGGCTTTGTATGTCGCAGAAAGGATGCAAGATAGCTTATAACTCTAAGACACACATTTTTGTACGAGCTGCATTGTGACACACATGCACAAGTCGCTTTACTTGCAAAGGATCCAAACAGCTGTGAAACCATACGCACTATCACGGGCGCATGCATTCACAGGCATATGTGCATAAACCCATACCTGCCTGCATACAGGCATACATACACACACATGCATGATACATATACACGCACATATGCATGCGTGCATACATGCATACACATACCTCCACGCCGACATGCAGACAAGCATGTATCCATCCATCCGTCCATGCATACATACCTACATGCATACCTACATACATACCTTGGTACATACCAACTGACAGACGCATATGCACTCGCCAGCCACCCAGCCACCCTGCAGCCACTCAGCCACCCAGCCACCCGCCCAGCCACCCATACGACATACGCCACCGACGCAAGCACACAGGCATGCAGGCACGCGGGCACGCAGGCACGCAGGACACAGGCCCGCTGGCCCGCAGGCCCGCAGGCACGCAAGCCCGCGGGCCCGCGGGCACGCGGGCACGCATGCATGCACACATGCATGCACGCACGCACGGATGCAGATTCCTCGCATCTTCCACTTCCACTTCTGTCGCACACCCGCACACCCGCACACACACACACACACACACACACACACACACACACACATAGTCCTTGGATTAAGTACGTGAGAACGAAGTGCTTATCGTAAGCATACTCTCTGCATGCGTAGCGCCTGCATGGCGCGGGCTTTTGCTTCCACGACAGGGAGGCTACTTTGAGGGGTCTGTTCCATGGTCAGGTTCCTATGCGGGTGTCGTCATGTCCATGCAGTGCAAGTTGTGATGATGGGCCCTGCCTTATAAACGTGGGTCAAGAAAGAGCCACAGACACACAGACAGAGAGAGATGTGGTAAAATGGACACCAGGAAAGAAGACAATTTCGCGGCTACTTTGTCTTCATTCGTCTCTAAGATCCTTCGATGAGGATGAGGAAGCTGAAGTGCCAGCTAAGGGGAGAAGACTACAGGGCACGAGTAGGTGCAGAGCAAAACCGAGGGCGTCAAAGTTTCATAAAACCTGGTCCATGTATCCCTCCGGAATGTCGACTAACATGAGCTGAATCAGCCAAGTGCGTGGGACAACAGAAACCTGATGGCAGACGCCACTACTGGCTTGTATCGATTGGTGAGGTGGTGGCGAGTGAGGTGGTTCTCAACTCTGTGCTCCCATTGCAGTGCTGGACAAGAAGCATCGCTGTCCAGACGTGTTTTCTTCCACAGAGAGACGCTAAAAGTGGTCCATCGGTCTCAATCCTGCAGCCTCCCCTGCCCTTGAGATTAGTGGCTGCGGAGAGCAATGCCAACAGGGCCAACACTTGCCGTGCACCAGCAATAGACCTGTCAGGATCAACAACTTGATCCTGCATTCAACAGGCCGCTCGGTGGCAAATCGGTGTTCAACGAGGCATCACGAGCACTAGGGTAAGCTGGCTGCCAACACATTTATCCATGTGTTTCGAGCTTTCATAGCTGACATGTTCTTTGCAGTGTCAGCTTTGCAGAGGAGCAACAGGCCCAAGACGATGTTCGAAAGAAGCCGCTAGCCTGCAAGCGACAAGAGTGCAACCTACGGAAGTCCGAGGAAACATCAACAAGTTCTACGGACTCCAAGCCGACAAGCTTGGTGAAGGTGGCTTTGGCTTCGTTGTGGAGGCTGGAAGCTAAGCCACGAAAATGCACGCCTGCGGAGTTCCGTGTATTTGAGGCCAAGAGTCTGTCGACCGGGAACAGATATGCCGTCAAGAAGGTCTCCAAGGCAGACATGATGAGAGTGCTCCATGTCCCACGTCCTGCCTGCACATTTACCTGAAAATCTGCAAAGCGTGGTGAAGCCGGCGAAGTACCTCTGGTGTTGTCCAGGGTCGGGTAACGGAGGACTTTCAGGGTTAAGTGGCTTTCTTCGTTGCTGCCAGGGCTCCGATGTGACGCCATCATGTCTTCAAGTTCAATTCTGCACTGTTGGCTACCCTGCTAGCTACTTGGTTACCTGAGGCTGAGTACCTTCTTAGAGCATCCAGGCGCATCATGAACAAGCACATTACTCTCCTCGTGACTTTCTATCCTTCCCGGGGGGCCAGAGGGGGGATGATGGCGGTGTTTAGGTTGTCTATGGCTTAAAACATCGAGAGGCCACCAAAGCGTGGCACAAGCTGCCTGGAAGGACACACAGAAAGCGACGGCGTCGGAATGATCCGTATAACAGTGGCTCTGATGAGTGGGAGAGCAGTGGACTTGGAGGTGGTCCGCAATGTACCCCTCGGAGAGCTGTCTCGGAGAGCTCAATCTGAACTTGGGGTCCGGGGCAGGTTGCTCAGCCCTTGTGGTGCTGACCTGCACGGAGACACGACTTTGGTCCAGGCTGGTCTTCTGAGTGGCGATGTCCTAACTCTGCACACTCGGCCGGTGTACCTGGCGGCGGCCGACAGCGCGTTGGCAGCCATCCTGTCTGATGGGACCATCGTCAGCTGGGGCTACCCGGGGAATGGTGGGGACAGTCGTTCTGCCAGTGAGGACTTGCGAAACGTCCAGCAAGTTCAAGCGAACCAGTTTGCCTTTGCTGCTCTGCGGGGCGATGGTTCCGTCGTGACTTGGGGGAACTCGGCTTGTGGTGGAAACTGCAGCAAGGTTGCGTGCCAGCTGAAAGAAGTTCGCGAGGTCCAAGCGACTTCCCTAGCCTTCGCTGCGATACTGCGTGATGGGTCCGTTGTAACTTGGGGAAATGCTGACTACGGTGGCGACAGCGGTGAGGTCCACGATCTTCTGCAAGATGTGCGAGAGATCCAAGCAAGCGAGGCTGCATTTGCTGCCATACTGGCAAACGGGGAAGTGGTGACTTGGGGTTGGGCTGGGTACGGCGGAGACAGCCAGGCGGTCCAAGGGCAGCTCAAGAATGTCCAGAAAATACAAGCTGCACAGAATGCCTTTGCTGCTATCTCTAAGGATGGCTCCGTGGTGACCTGGGGGAATCCGACCCGGGGAGGTGACAGCAGACCTGTCCTGGAAGAGCTGAGTGACGTGATGCACGTTCAAGCTAGCGAGTCGGCCTTTGCCGCTCTGCGGGAGGATGGAAGTGTCGTGACTTGGGGACATGATGGCTATGGTGCCGACAGCAGTGCGACCCGATTGAAGTTGGTGGACGTGCGGGAGATTCAGGCGACTGCTTCTGCCTTCGCAGCTCTGAGGCACGATGGTTCCGTCGTCACATGGGGCAACCCCGAAAATGGAGGGTGCAGCGAAGAGGTCGAGTCTGAGCTTACGGATGTCCGTGCTATTCAGGCTACGCGATTCGCTTTTGCTGCTGTCCGTGCGGATGGTTCTGTCGTGACCTGGGGTAATCCAGCCCGGGGTGGAGATAGCAAAGATGTTCATGAACAGCTGCAGCATGTGCAGCAGATCCAAGCTAGCGCTGGTGCTTTTGCTGCTATCCTGACTGATGGGTCTGTCGTGACTTGGGGCCACTCTGGCTGCGGAGGTGATAGCACGTCCGTCCGGAAGCAGTTGAAAAACGTGCAGCACATACAAGCCTCTCGTTTTGCCTTCGCCGCTGTTCTGGACGACGCATCAGTTGTCACCTGGGGTGCAGCAGGCGGCGGCGGTGATAGCAGTGCCGTGCGTGAGGTCTTACCCTGATGTTCAGCCTGAAGAACCGACAAGACAGCTGACAACAAGTAGCTACCTGTCTCTTTTTGTGGCCCGATATCTGGGCTGATATGTCTCACCCGTCGTGATCCTAGAAAAGCCTCGCGAACTTTGACTAGGCCCTCATTGTGCCTTCGAACTTAGCTCCACCAGTCTCCCAAGTAGGACTCGCCTGGCCTAGCAGGATCTCCGCCCTCAGCATGGGGAACTTGCCACAACTTCGCTGCCACGATGTTGCGAGGCTAAGGCGAAACAAAAACGCTTGGAGATTCGCAGTGAGATCGACATCATGAAACTGCGCGGGATCCCAGATCGAAGCCAACTCTGCCGGTGCGAGGGTCCTTGTGCAGTTCCTGCATTTTGTGCAGAGAGACAGGGAGGCAAAGAGCGCGAACTGCCGGCTGCTTTGACAGAAAAAGAGAGAGGCACCAGTCTCACGCCCGGCTGGGTACGAGACGGCAAAGATTATGCCGTTATGCCTATGTCTCACGTCACGTCCCTTCCCATAGGCCTGCGAGCATCACCTCAGTGCAAATGCCAGACAGGGCGCGCATGCGCAGGGGACATTGCACAACACCGTCGCACAAGACAGAATCCATTCTGTAGTCGCGGAGTCATAGCACAAATTCGCGAGGGTCCGGCGGTTAAGGACGGACCACCCCAACGTGGTGAAGCTCCATGAAACCTTCGAGGACCGCTCTCAGATGTACTTGGCAAGGTCCCCAGCATGAGTCGGAGTGCTTTGCTAGTCACTAGCGAGTACGCAGATTTGGCCCGGCCTATGAGGTCATGGAGCTCTGTGCCGGTGGCGACCTGGACAAACACATGAAAGGGCAAGGTGGTCCCTACAGTGAGCACCAGGCCTAAGATCTTCTGCCAGATTTTAGTGTCGTCTCTGCACGTAAGGGGTTTTGTACCGAGAATGATGTACTGTACCAGTCTGGGCAGTAGCTTTCGTCATGTCAGCGTGGGTGAGGTGCGTGCCCTTGTCCTGTGCACTCTGTTCTCACAGGCCGCTATCCTCATGGACCAGATTTTAAAAGCAGCAGCGCGCTCAGCCGGAAGCGGTAAGCAGGCAATCGTGGCGTTGATTCATGCGTTGATGCCGTGTAAGCTGTGCTAAGGGCACCATAGGGCACCTGTGCGTTGGAGCAGTTGTGCTTTGTCCCTTCTCGAGGTGTCCTATCTCCACGACTGCAAAAGCATTTGTGCGCCGCTGAGCAATCTGATCAGCGGCACCTTCATCGTTCCCCGAACGGTCTTTGAGCGGAGCAGCGGAAGGCCAGTGTTGGGGCTTTCTCGGGTCTCTAGCGCCTCGAATCTCAAGTTCCGCGTTCGGCCGGGCTGTCCGACGTCAGACTCGCACTGGGTCTGAGGTCACAGAGATTTGAAGCTGCAAAACTTCCTCTTCTCTCGGAAGGCACCTCTGACTCTGCGTGAAATGAAGACACAGGAGTCCTCGTCGGAGCCTTGCTCCCTAGAAGGGCTCAACACGTCACCAACTTTTTATCGCTTCTCATAAGCGTCTGCTGGGGCTGAGCCGCCTCCCTTTCAGAGCTGGAAGTGCCGGTCCAAACAGCTAGTCCATTTCACTTTGTTGCAGTTGGTCATCGTAACAAATCCAATCCCTCTCAATGTCTCTCCCTTTGTTTTTAAGCGCAGCAGGCGCCTGTGGAAAACAACGTGTCCGTGCCCTGGTGTACTGCGGAGGGTGTCGCGGGCGGGGTTCGTATGTTCTGAGAGTTTCATGGAGCTAGTGCTTTTGCTTTGCTAGCAGGCGGCTTAGTAAGCGATTGGCATGTCTCCGGATGGGTGAGAACGGAACTGCACTTTGAGTGCTTTTCGCATCCACGTTGGAGCACTGCGCCGAAGGCTGAAGCTGGCGGACTTCGGCCTGGCCTGCAGCTTCGAGCCTGGGGGAGTGCCTTGGAAAGCCGGAGGGAATGAGCGGCTTTGGCCCTGCTGGGACTCCGTTCTTCAGTCCATTGGTCGCAGGTGCTGGCGACAAAAGCCGGCACGGTGTCATATTGCTCGCCGCAGGCACCCGGAATCGGCAAGGTGTGTTCCGCTCTCTTTGGGCATGACCTCCCGTGTGAGACTGGGTCGGGCGATGTCGGGCGCTGATGTATTCCCAAAGTCGAAACTGCTGCAAGCTTCAAGGAGAGTGGCGCTGCGGGAACCGGAGTTCTGACAGATGAGACATGCACAGCTTGTAGCAGAAAGCGAGTTGCAGGTCCTGGGAGGTGTCTACGACAACTCTGCAGACTTGTGGAGCTGTGGCGTCATCATGTACGTGTCGGACCAAGCTTGCCACTTCCACTGTTTCGCTGTAGGGATCCTTCGTGAATCTTCGGGGACATGTAGCGGCTGTGAGCATAGCGTGATCGGGTGAGCATGCAGTCTTCTCTGCTGAGCGCGCACAGGTACTTTGGGTCTGCTGTTTTGGTTTTGAGCTTGCTCAGATGCTGCTGGCCGCGCAGCCGCCCTTCCCTGGCAAAAACGATGCCGAGGCCAAGTGAGTTGCGTACGGTTTCTGCAACTGGCATCTGCAAAGTCGGCATGTCATCCCTGGGTTCTGACCACCTCGGTACTTGGCCGAAAATAGAACTGGAATCTAGTCCGCACGCAGCAACCTTTTCTGACAGTGCTGCCGCAGGTGGCTCAGCGTGTGCGGAAGGGGAACTATGTCTTCAACGATGTCGCATGGTCCGCGGTGTGTGGAGCTTGGACTGCGGTGTGTTTTCGGTTTCTGCTCGCAATCCACAGGGTCGCAGAGAGCAGCGCTAAGCGATTTCCGCAGATCCCGGCATGACTATAGCAGCCTTAAGCACTGCTTCCGGCCAAGGTCCGAGGAGGCAAAGAACCTCGTGCGAAAGCTCCTGAAGTATCAGCCCTTCGACAGGGCCACTGCAGTCCAGGCAAGGCAGCATTGGCAATAGCAGTCGCCATGGCACGATATGAAAATGTCAAGTGTGGCTCTGTGACACAGTCCCATGTGCATCCAGAACCCGAGCCGGTCAGGCCCGTTCACATGCCTGGTTCCAGTATGCAGCGCCGTTCCTTCGGCACGCGATCCCTGTGCAGCCAAGCGTGGTGTCGGTGTGATTCCCGGCCAACCAGCTTTGCTATGCAACCGCACCATCCTTGAAGTCCACGAGCTGCCTGTTTGTCATCTCCAGACTTCCGTTCAGAGCTGTTTGTGCAAGTGGATTAGGACTTACTTCGCTTTTCCAGAAAGACCACGTTTCAAAGGGTCGCTGCCCCAGTCCAGCAAGAGGCTTGCGTCAGCTTGGCATAGCTGTGTGAAGCTTGCCAGAATGCCTGTTGAACTGGCATCCAGTTACAAGAACAGCAATTCTCGGCTTGTTCTCCACTTGGCTTCTTTGGGCTTGCCGGGATAAAGAGTCATCCTTGCTGCCGCACTCACGCGATGTTTCCGAAGCCAATGTGCCAGTTCGACACGAATGTGTACGATTTCTTGTTTGCAGTTAATGTCAGGCCTCGGCGTAATCACACCATTGACAAGACAACTGTCTGACTCTCTAGTCAGGTCCAGAAGCTTAACTCTGCTCGTTAGCCTCATCTTATCTAAGCGCCTCGCATGCGTAAGGCCATCACAACTGCATAGCATCACAAGCTGCACTTTTTGTGAGAATGTCTTTGCCAGCAAGGCTGCTCTGCGCGCTCTCGCAATGCAGCTCGGCCAGGCAAGCACCGTGCTCCCGTGGCCCGGTGTGAGTTGAAGATGTAGGGTCTTAAGTTCTCAACATCGCGGCAAGGATCAGGGCACTGTGAGTTGCAGCCCCTGCTCAAGAAAAGGTGGAGACTTTGGTCCTGGTGTGTCTGCACTTGACGACGACATGATAACAAGAACCGCCAATTGCCTTGCAATTTTGCTTCATGGCCCCCTGCACCCGAGCCGTCGCATTCGATGCGGAATGCATCTTTGAGCCTCTGCATCCTGCAAGAATGCAAGCTGCGACCAGGAGGCTGTGGACCGCTGTTCCCAGGACTTCGCAGCCATAGTCCCGGCTTGACATCGCACATTACTTTCTGTATTGACTGGAGGTCGAGGCTGGAGGCTTTGGGGGTTGCGGGGTTGGATTCCTCCGCTGAATTGGCTCCGAGGCCTTGGACTACAAAGGCATGAGCTTCTTGTCCCTGCAAGATCTCGAGGACCACCTACCTCTGAACCTACACTGCCAGTTTCCTCTGCCGGCACCAGTCGGAGGAGCTTCTGGAGATGCCAGACCTCGAGCCGGTCCACCACGAGCTTCGGCAGGTAGCCGCAGTCGTTTGGACTGACATCCGTCATCAGCTGAAAAAGCTGGAACAGTTCTGCCACGCAGCCATCGAGCTCGAGCCTCCGACATAACACGACAAGATTTGTTGACGAGTGTCCACCGAACAAACCTCCCACCGGCCACCTTCGTTTGTTTACTGGTCGGTCAGATCCTGCAGCTTGCCATGGCAACGCAGTTGCAGCCTTAGCAATTTTATGAACATTTCTTCTGCCAATACAGTTGGCGGAGAAGCGACACGACGCTACAAGACAGTTGTCCGAAACTGTCGCATCATCCAACCAGGCTGTAAATACGACGATGTGTAAGCAGAGCTGCAAGGCTGCCAAGGTTCAGGGCAGTTTTTTTGATGCCCCAGCTTCATGCCGCAGCTGACAGCAGCATGAAATTGCTTCCCATCACAGTGTTTTAAGCAACATTGTCTCACACATTCCAGCTCTTGTCTTCTTGGGCTGAGTTTGAAGCATGCTTCTTACTGGTATGAGTGCTGTCGGTCCCGGAAGAGTGCAGCCGAGACCGGATCTTCTGTTCGCTGCACCTCCGGCCTCGGGGAGCCCCTCGGCAGCAGCAGCAGCTCTCTTCGACGCAGAACCAACAAACAAGTGCTTCGCTTTCAGTTGTGGGCCCTCGAAGTCCTTGCTTCAACAGGACATCGACATTAAAGGGATCCTGAGTCACCCAAATGCAACATCCCACGAAGGTTTATTGAAGTTAGGGGACTGCCACTTCTCGCAGACGTACACTCCGGCGGGGGGTTAATGCTCTTTGAAGATGTCCTAGGTGCACACGCAGCTGTGTCTCAGTCAGGTTTTCCCTCAGGACTTAGGACTGAGTCGGTGAACTATGCCGAGGCCATGCGCCGCCGCGGCATATTGCTGGGGGAGAGAGACCGATGCACGGCCAAGAGGCGTCGAGACCACCGGATTGTTTGACAGTTTCGGAGCCAAGAAGCCTCTTATCATTACCAAAACGAAGTTATCAATGTACAAGCGCACTGAAGGCTCAAGTGGCACAGGAGCTGACCGAAGGCGCTGTGCCTGCTGGACTCCTTCTTTTCGGCAATGCCTGTCGTGGCCAGCAGTTGACAGATTCCGGAAGAATGCAATGTGCTGTACAAGGAAGGAGAAGCTCGTATGCTTAGTGGTATGCCTGGGCTTGGATGCCGCCAGGTGTTGTGGCGAGCCGCCACCTGACAAGATGGATTATTGCAATTGTGCTCATCGGCCTGTTTTGTCCGGCTCAGGCCTCAGCAACTTCAGTGTCGTCTTTCGTGCGGAATGTCGAGGCTTTTGCTGCCAGCTCTAGCAGCTACTAGCAATTGGTCAGCTGCACGGGGGTCGTCAATTTGGGAAAGTTCTTAACCAAACCTCTGGCTGTGCAAGCGCGGCTGCAAGACCTCCAGCAGGATCGCAGTGCTGCAGCTTCAAAGCGAAATCAGTATTCGCATGATGAACATGCTAAGAAGGACGTCTTGGAGCTTTGAGGTGCGTGCAATACCAGTGCAAGTTCTGCATGTCTCAAAGGTTGGCAAAATGCCACATGAAGGGCAGTGTGCTGTGGCATAACGGTCCCAAGGCCCATGAGGGTTTTGGAAGCAGAAGAACGAATGCTTGGAGCTGGACCAGCGGCACCATGCGGTTCTTGCGTTTCGTGTGGCGATTCAGTTCAGTTAAATTCATCACGCTTAGGTGCCGAAGCTTTGTTGGAAAATAGTACAGACATTGGCAGCATCCGGCCACTTGACCATATCCTCGGCTCCGCATAAAGATAACAGCTTTCCTCGGCCCAGTTCCTGGCCCTGCAGAAGAGATTTCTTCCCAAGCACATTGCGAAGGCACAGGGCTTCCTAGGGCGCAGGGATTTGCAGGCAGCTGGCATCGCACGCGCTGGTTTGAAGACGCGAGTGCAGCTACAGCATTTGCCGATCCGTGGATAAGAAGATCGGTTGGACTGTGGAGTTCAGCTAGAGCTAGAGTCACGAGATCAGCCGCAGAGCAGGTCTTGGGACGATTGTACTTCTGGCCTACCATCGGCCTTACTCTCTTGCGGAGCTGGCGGGATGGGCGCGGTCTCTGGTGCCAGGCCGGAGGGAGCATGTCGGGGCTTCGCGGCGGAACGGCCACTTACTGCAGGTGCGTGGTGGTCGTACTAGTCTTGTTTCTGGGACACCTACCTGTGGTGTTGACCGCATGGTGTGGTAGAGGAGGCTTGATTGATTGACCGGTTTCCTGACGTTAGTCCCGAAGCCTCCTGATTAACACGAGCTTCGAGCGGTGGCGTAGGTGTCATTGAAGAGTGTGTGTGTTTTTTGTAGATGCAAGAGAGGGACGACATGTGAATCCTGTTGGTTTTGGTTTCTCGGCTGTGGATCTGAGACAGACGCCAGTGTCTTAAAATGCTGACGCATCAAGGGGCCCGCAGTAGGCCGCAGTCCAGGACAAAATGATTGCCAGGTTGACGACACTGTGCTGCTAGGCCATTGCCGATATCTTGCAAGAATCATCGGGGGCACTGGAGCTTCTGAAGGAGAGTGCCGGAGAGTTAGCTGCAAAGCCCATGCACTCCACTCATCGCTGCTTATCGGCCCAGTTGTCTTAGTTTCAGATCTCAAGGCGCAGATCAGTCAAGACACAACAGTCATAACTAGCGCCTGCACGGCTGCGGTCGCTGAGTCCAACCAAGCCAGACAAATCCCTGAATCCAGCTACACCCCTCGCTTTCCAGAATTTGCCGGGCACCTTCAAGCCAGACACCCTACTCTACCCCGCCGACAAGAGGTAGTCAGAAAGCTGTAGGCTTCTCTGATGGCCCTCGGTGCTTGCGATGGCCGGCTCTAGAGCGTTACCAGCGTGGGCCCCGATCGTCATGGGTTGGTCGCTGCTTCCGGGAATATTTCTTGCTTCCCCTTAGCTCGTGAAGGCCATGTTGCTGCTTGGGGCCTTGGGCACAATGTTTGGCCTGCTGCTCTCCCGAAGTCGGGAAGTCGCTGACCTCGCCAGCAGCATATTCGGGTCCTTCGTCGCCGTCACCGGAGATGCCCATCAAGCCAAAGTGGCACAGGACATATTCCGCCAGCAGGTTCGATACGAGAGATCTATACAGATTCGCGAGGACATGCGCGATGTGAACAAACTGATGATGGAGAGTGTCCAAACCCACGTCATCATGGGCAGTATCATACTTGGCGTTTGTTGGAACATGTGCATTGAAGGCTTCCCACCGGAAGAGACGGAGCGTGCTGTGGTGGGTCTTTGGTTGGTGTTCACTTGCTGGTCTGTCACTTACACCCTCATTGCGCTTTGGCTGGCTCTGCGGTTTCAAATGAAAATGTCCTCCAGTGCCCGCGACCGTTTGCTCCGGCGTCACCGCCTCATGGTGCCTGATGATCTAGTTGTTGGTCGGATGGGCGGGCACAACGTAGTCAATCAGGTTGCCAACTTTCACAGCTGGATGCTCACTGCCATCAACAACCTCACGTCGACAGATGCCGCCGTTGAGGATGACAGTGCCATCCGTGTTCGGGGTCGACGCCATCTCGGCTTGCGTGTGCAAGTGGAACCAAGTGAAGGGTTTGTCGATGTGGAACCGCTTCGCAAGGGCATGCATGCGTGGCTGCACCCGGAAGGGGACGGCTGGTCGCACCACACTTTGCTGGACATTCCCTTCTTTCTGACAGGGGAGACCCTTATCCGGAGTCCTTGGCAGTTCAATGGTGAGCGGCCTTTGGCTTTTAGAGTGTACGGGGAGGCAACCCTGTATGTGGCTGCTCAGTGCCCACCACTGCGCACGCAGAACAAGCAGAGGAACGAGCCCTCGACCTCTTCAACCAACAACCATGGATTGAAGAAGGCCTTGTGGTTAGCGGGTCAAGTGCCTGACTGGCCTGCAGACGAGCTTCCGCTGGCCACGCAGGGTTTTCACGAGGACTGGGCTGGGGAGAGCGGCTGCGGTGAGTTTCGGCGAGTGGAAGGCTTTTCGATGTACGTGGATCGCAACGATATCGAGATGCCTGTATACAAGCAACCCCTTAGCACGAGCATTTCCTTAGCAATTTTTAACCATGGATTTGCGATCGTTTAAACTTAAACCAATGGAAAGTGAAAGCAGAAACCCTCGGATTGGCCCTGGCCAAGGCTGGTCCTGGCGAACCCTAGTTATGGAAACTACGTCGATGTGGTGGTGAACTGGAACTTCAAAGCTGGCTGCGAGGCTCTGGTCGTGGTCGTGAGGACTCCGGGACGAACTCAGAGGTAAGAGTACCGAGTGGCCGAACCTGGCAAGACCTTTAGTGATTGGTATCTCGCATCAACCCTTCTTGCAGTCTCTGCCGGCTGTTGCTCGCAGTGGATAACTTCAGCGTGTTGGAGCAGATAAAGTGCTATCCCACAATGTGCTCAGCAGAATCCCAGGAGTTGCAGCCGTTGTATCCAACATCAACGTGTCGAGAACCATCAGACTTTCCGAACTTTCCCTAGACTAGACAGAAGAAACTCAGCCTGATCTTAGCTGAGGAAAGGCCAAGTCCACTGTCACTCTGATGGAAAGAGTGGTTACTGTGGTCGTCATGGAGTGACACTTTTTGGGTTTGTGTCAGGGTTAACGGTTAACGATTGGCGGTTACTCGACAGTGGTGACAATCGTCTGCAGCCATTGGGCATCATCAGGGGGAAGTGTTTCTTGCTCCGTGCTGCAGGAAGGAAGCGGATAGATCGCTTCGCGTGTGCGTGTTGATGATATTGCACCTCCCTTCGTTGCAAGGTTTGGAACTCAATACCGAATGACTTGTGTATCGTTGGTAGACTGGTGCACCCCGCAGGCAGAGACCTGAAGTTACATGTCTCATCGCGTCTCAGCTTCTTGTCCTGCAAGGTAAGGAGGAGGACTGGCCCCTCGCAGAGTTCAACGCGGAAGTCAAGGAGGCTTCTCCGGTCTGCAAACCAGATGTCCGGATGACTGCGAGAACTGCAGCAGTCTGCCGCCGACACAACGTCGAAGCATGTCGAACCCGAAAGCCGAACATGAAGATTGCCTCTGCGTCCCTAGTGTCTGAAAAACGCATGCTTCACCAACAAGAACGGTTTGGGTACAAGAGTACGCAGCAACAGACAACGTGACACACAGTGTTAGGCGTGCCACACAGAGTGCAGCCGACTTAGGTCTTGAACCTCCGGCACTACTCCGGGCTGTACTTGCGCCATGGGACCAGCTGTTTGGTTCTGGCCTGCTGCATCCAGACTTGCAGAAGTCCCGCTCCCCTTCCCCGGCCCCGCTCGTTCACGGTTTGCGGGTAAAGAGGACATATTTTTCCCCACGAGGAGTGAAGGGTTGAAGTGCCAGGCTTCTTGGTCGACTGTTTCCGGGAGAGCTTTGCAAGGCAATCAAAGATCTGGCTTTGGACGGAGTCATCTAAGTGATCTATCCTGCGCTGTTGTCTTATGACTTCGCTCTCTTTGCACTTGAGCCCGACACATCTGCGGGCATTCTGCTTCTGCTGGGAGCAGTTGGGATTCGCAATCGGGAGTGCGCTCAATCCACCAACAATCGCCAGACAAGCTGGTCCAGCGAGTGCGCAAAATCCTTCGACAAGCAACATTAGTAGCAATCACTATCCACGGACCCGCCAACGGCCGCCTCAAGATGCTCACCAAAGCATTGCGCAATGCCACGCTGGTGGCTTCCCGAGATTGGTAAGAGAAGGCAAAGACAGGAGCACATAGGAGCACTGCCACAAGACAGCTGCGACACATCCAGACGATGCCGAAGCTAGGCCGGCAGTCGGAAAGCACTGGAAAGACTGGAGCACGAACGGATGTCGGCAGGCTAAGGGTTGTTCTGCAGATTTCCGGGGAACCACGCCGGAGTACAAGCTAAGGTGTCCTTTACCTGGCCCGCATGAGCGTCCTGCTCCGGGGCGCTAGCTACTTGCTGCAATACTGCATGTTTGCAGATGGGCGTTGTATGGAGAGACATGATTTCTGAGGGTTGAGAAGCCTTTTGAACTTGTCGTGAAACTGCTGCCCGCAACCAAGGGACCTGAGTTTGTGTGAAGCTTTGTCTGTTCAAGCAGGCCCACGTAAAATTGCCACAGGGATGCACCGGACGTGGGATGGACTAGGGTGTTCATACCGTGCGAAACTCCTTTCTTCCGGGATTGAAGTGTACAGGTTGGACTTTCCAGATGTCTTCCCCTCCACGACAGGATTCTGGTGGTACGAGTCCACGCTGGTGGCGATAGCCATGCTGCCGTCGATCGTTGCCATACGATGCTTGCAGATACATTGGCGCCTAGTAGTGGCATGCGGGTGGTCACCTGGACATACCTGGACCATTGCTTTCAGCAGATGCGCATTAACTTCGTGCTTCCCAGCCCCATGCCCTTTCTTTTGCATGCTGTAACAGGGCGCCGTCCATCGGAAAAGGCGTAGGTTCATGGCATGCTTCAAAGATTCTTCTGATGCTGTTACTGAATAGGCTGGGTTGTTGATGTGCGGTGGGTTCGCGATCATGACATACCCGTGTGTCCTGTTTGTATCACTAGTTATGGGCCGAGCGTGAACTCGCAAAGCTGGTTCTGGGTTCCAGGTTTCCACTTCCGGCTCCGTTTGTGCCTCACGGTTGACGAATTCATTTACGAATTGCTACATAGTTAAGGGCCTGGCATCGTGTGATTTGCACGGCGCGGATCGTGCATCATGCTTTGCAGCCTCCTGTACAAGTTGGAAGCTGTTCAAAAGCCATGCATAGCTTTTTTACTTGTAGCAGTCAGCCGACAGCATGTGGCGACAACTCAACAGGCCGTATTCAGCCCCCTGGCCTCGGGACTGTTCATGCCTCTCAAGAGTTTGGCTGTGGTGACTTGAAGCCAAGACGTTTGGTCAAGCTGCTGGCCAGCTCTGACCAGCTCGGACCAACCTTTCAATCTCTTCACATAGCACCGCCTAGGAATCATGCCTCTCGACGTCTGGGAGAAGGAGACAGTGCTCAGCGAGGTAGGGCGCAACCAGCCGCAGCAGAAGGCTCTGGACGAGGTGAATGCTCCTGGTGCAATATTTAAGGACGACGGTTTCTGACAGCAGTACTTCAGTGAGAGTTCCCCAGTGCAAAGTGGTAAGCAGCAGAAGGAAAAGGCTTGCAGAGGCCCTGCCGTATGGCTTTCCATCGATTCAGGTTGTTTCGCCGCAGCCGACACCCGTGAATGTGGAGCACGTCGACAGTGAGCCACGTCTGCTGTTGTCGCGGCCGGGGCTGAACGAGGCTCGATCCACAACCAGTAAAACCAATTGAGCCCAGCTATAGTCCATAGTCCTTGAGCCCAGGACGGTGAAGACCTGCCATCTGTGTTCGCGGTATCTCCACAGAGCGCCAGTCCTGGTGTGCTGCAGGGGCCCGCCAGGATGCTTCTGCAGCGGGAAGCCGAACAGGCCGCACAAAGCGAGGTCGCGCAGCGTGGCACCGCCGCCACGAGATCGCAGTCGGCCCCTGCTCGAACTAGAGAAGTGCCGTCTTTCGGCCTGCGTGGCTGCTGCACTGAAATTCAGGGTCGGCTGGAGAACTGCCAGATTGTGGCTCACGACAGTGAGCGGCACACTATCCGGAATCTCCGGCAACAGGCCCTTCCTCCGCCACAGCCACGCTCCGATGCTGGTTTGCCTCCAGAGGCTACGCCACATTCTCCAGCGACTCCACCTCTCCAGATTGAGACCGAGAACCTCGACACCAAGACTGACCCTTTCCACCTCAACGTGAGCTTCGAGCCAAAGGCCTGCCACTAAGTCACTACTCCTGGCCAATTGCCGTAATTAGCGGGATCACAGCCCCCACCGCGGGGTTTGTCGTGGACAGGCGAAGCCACCATCTTCCCCTAAGCGACGGTGTTTCCGGAGGTGCCAATGGCAAGTGCCGAAAACGGGTTCCTCAGCTGATACTCAAAGTTCAGCTTTGAATGACTGGGTAGGGTGCGAGCTCATGCTCATTGCATGTGCAGCTGGACTCAGGTCAAAATCTCTTCATGGGAACGCTGCTCTTGGAAGCTCTCCTGGCGCTTTCGTGCGTCGCAGGGCTGAAAAGAATCTGCCCATCTTTTCGTCACCTAGTTCATCTCAACTCCGGACTCGAATTGCGCCTTTTTTTATGTACTTGATGGAGACGCAACCTGCAGGTCATGTAAGAAGCTCCTGAGTTTCCTCCCAGTGTACATGTTCGGAAGTCGGACAGCTAAAGATAGAGGCGTGCTGCTTTGCACTAAGATATCAACGTTGATCACGCTGCCGTGGGCGTCTTGGTCGCAGACATCCAGCCTGGAATGGATTCCGCTGCCTATTTCCTGGCCGGCACTTTTCCGACCAACGGCTGTGAAGCTTGGCTCAGCAAGGGAGAATACTTGCTTGGGGTGGGGGTGAAGCCGGGTGAAGAACCATGTTTGGTCTCTCGCGGAACGAGGCTGCATTCAAGCGTGCTGCGCATGGCAGCGGGTCCCGTTCTGCGCTCCTTCAGCGCCGGCAGCTTAAGCTGGGGGCCTGCGGGGACGCCTGTCTTGCTGCCTCATCATGCTCGAGGGCTCGGAGTCTGGGCGGACGAGTACGTAATCCTGGGCCAGAGCGGGCTTTATCTGGTTGAAGAGACGGCCGTGGCTCCGCAACTGCAAACTGCGGAAACTGGACTGGATCCACTTGAGCTGCTGGACTTACCCGGTAGCGTGAATGGCAGCTACCTCGCCTACCCAGCCAGGGTCCAAAGTGCAATTGCCGGCACCGTCGCAAGCATTTCGGGGAGTTCTACCGTTGCGGCCGTTCTCTTGGCGACCTCCGACGAAGTCTACCTCTGCAGAATGACGAACAGCACAGGAAGCGTTTCTTTGGCTTTCGTCTCCAACTTGAAGCCGGTGGGGGAAGCATTGAGCCAAATCACGGGCCTGTACATGTGCCCACAGGGACAATGTGCCTCGCAGGCTGTGCTTTGGATATCTATGTCTCAGGGCCGGCTTGCTGCCATTGGCTTCGCATCCGGGAAGGCCCGACCTTGAGTCACAAATAGAAGTCCACTACTATCCTGGTTTTGTTGGGTTCCGAATCGCCCTAATAAGATGCTTCTGTGCTGATGGTTTCTCTTCGCAGGTGCTGGCAGTGTTTCCAGCTTCTTCCAGCTTTGCTGCATCGACTTCGACGCTGGTGACTGGCAACAGCACCTTTGCCGCAAGTGGTGTTTCAAGGCTTCGATGAGGCACGGCGGGAGGAGCAGTCAGCAGCCGAGGCACGCATCTGATTCTTGTGGCCGTCAGTGAAGGCACCTTACCTACAGCGTTCTCGGTTCCGTACCCACCCCTACCGGAGGTTTAGCTCGTGCGAATGCACTTGATATTGCAAGTATCGGCGGGAGCTTTCGATTCGAACTTTGCCAACGTAAGCCTCAATTAAAACAGTGATCTGAATAGGATGGCACGTTGAGAGAGAACATGCTTTGCAAAAGCTCGCGGCGTAATTGGAAGGCAATGATAATCCCCATTCCTTCTGAAACCTCGGTCGGCTTCGCTGCATCGGCAGCAGGCTCTGTCTTGTATCACCGGCGGTTTGCCAAAAGGTAAACTCACCGTGGTGTTTCACAGGCCTGGGGACCCAGAACGAATGGCAGGCAGAGCAGGCGGAGTGTTTAGGCAGGTTGACAAGCATGCCAACAAAAGAGAGTCGCTGGGTTTCCCTGCCCACAATACGTGTCATCGTTTTTCCAAGTTCACATTCCAATTCGTGCCGACGTTGAAAGGGCCCTCTGTGCCCTTTGGTAGGTAGCTCAGAAGCGCCGGGACTCCCGAAGCGCCTGCAGGAACCAACGGAAGCATTGTCAAAGAGAGGAAATCTAGCTTGATTCCACGATGCTTGCAAGTGGAAAGCTACATTGGGTTTGCCTTCCGACGAACAGCAGGGTACCTGCAAGGGGTGTAGAGACGATTGCGAGAGCATGCGACGCCGACCGTACCAAGAAAAGCATTCTGCTGCGAAGCAGTTGCGACTGCTAGGCAACACTTCAGGATTTGGGGAAACATTGAGGGGTCCGGTGCATCCCTCCATGGATGCGCACTTCGTTCGTGTTTTCATTTGGTGTGCATGCAGAATGTGTGGAAGCAGTGAGAGCTGCTGGGATGCACAGGTGTGGCTCCCTTGGCGATCTTGCAGCACCCAGCGCAATTGCAGGTTACCGACTTCAGTGGTGCAGCCTCACTCTATAGGCAAGCCTTTCTCATACCCAAGGCGCTGGGAGTTCGCGGCGTCGTAAACCTCTGCGACGAGTACGGTGGACCGCAGGCATGCGAAGCAGTGGGCTGTGGACCTGTGTGCCTTTCTCCTTCTGATTGCAGATGGATTCGGCATGGGCCTGTCGCGAGGCTTCCTACGACCGCATGGAGATCACGCAGCTTCGCCTGCCGACGGTGGACCACTACGAGCCTTTGTTGGAGGATCTCCTGAAGGCCCAGTTCCAGGGACCGGGCAAGGATCGAACCTTAGACCGGAGCTTGCGTGAGAAGCTTGCCGCATGAGGCCGTCGAATTTATTGAGAAGTTCAGACAGCGTGGACACAAAGTTTATGTCCACTGCAAAGCCGCGGCCCAAGGTCGAGGATGGAAAATGACCTCGAGCAAATGCAGTCAACCGCGCAGTTTCGCTGGTATGCATGACAGAGCTGACCGGTGGTCGAATGCATGGAAAGTACTCCAAGCTAGCAGCTAGTGCGGAGCTCTCTGGTGACGGCAGAATTGCAAGGCATAGGTTATCGGGGTTTCGATCATGCCAACTATCTGGCTCTTTGCCGTGAGTTACAGTAAGTCAGTTGATCCACGAGATCTCAGGCACCAGTCCTGAGTCGTTCGCTGCTCCACACACAGCGGCTAGTGTTCAAACCAGGTCTTTCTGTGTTTGGCCAGTTATGACGCAGCAGGCTGGACACGGCCGTGCGGCTGCCCAGCACTTAGACGGGTCGGCCCTTTCTGAGAGTAGATATTGGTTTCCAAACATCGATGCTTGTGAAGTGCTTGTTTCTTGAAGTGCAGCATCGCGCGACCCTCAAGAGAAGCAGCGGTCACGCCTCGTCGGATTCCGGAGATGGAATCCAGAAGGTACCGTTTCAATTCGGTTCTAGAGAGGACTCCCACTTCGTTGAGAGGCAGTCGCGCTATCCTGGATGATCTTCACCAGCAAAGCACATGGTGAGGTCGCGGCGGGCCATCGTGAAATTTGGGACCACGTGCAAATCAGCATTCATCAAGAGTGAATTTGGCAGCACGTATGCTCTTCATCTTTTGAGCGAACGTGGCAGGAAGCTGTGCGGGAACTCAATGCCAAGCTGGCCCAAAAGCGCCGCGTGCGGGGGAGCTTGTACAGGCAAAACTACACGTGTTGCTGCGAAAACGATCGCTCGAAGTTATAAGTACTTGTAATCAGGAAATGGAGTTTGCAGGCTTGCGGGGTTTCAATTCTTCGTAGGACCCTGAGTCGCAGGTATGGCCGTATGGCTTATGGCATGGGTTTTTCCGAGCATAGGATTTCGAAGGCGACTCTGTCTGTTTGTCTCTCCCTCTCTCTCGATTTCTTCTTTGTTCACTCATTCATTCTTTCTTCCTTCTCTGTCTATGCGCCTGGTCAGGCAAGCCAACATACGGGCTTTCATGGCAAAGCTTGATTCCACAGGCTGGTGTCTCGGTATCATGCTCGCTTCAGGCGTTAGGGGGTAGCACAATCCATGCTGCTTTGACGACCCTTGCATCCCGACAGTGCGTCCTGTGTTGGCTTGGTCGGTCTTGCCGGAGGTCCAGGGCTGGTCGCCTCCAAGGATGGGAGCAGAGCTTGGTAGTGGGTTTTGCTGTCCCGATGGCTACTGCTCACTTCCTACTCATACTTGTAGTAAGAAGCTTTGGGCCAAGTTTTGTCCGAGCTCCAGTCGACAGGATACATTGGACTGCCTGGACCGAGAGCTCCGCCGACGCAAAACTGCTGCAAACGAGGACACCTAGCTGCCAAAAGATGCCAAAAGGACCGATGCCAGCTGGGAGACTTGACAGTCCATGCTTGTAACTGCTGCAGGTTGCATGTCAGAAGTAGCTGGAGAAGGGCTTTGGAAGCTGCAAGCCTACTGCCCCAGCCAGGTCGTTGGGATCCTGTACTCCAGGCCTGCAGATGACAACAGCATCAGTCCGGCCCCCGGCCGGTGATGTGATGTGCAAAAAAGGCCTGCTTTGAATGGAGGCACACAGATGCCGTCAGATCTGCTATCAGTAGCTGCGGAGTGAAGCGATGTGGAGAGAATGCTGGTGCTGTTCAGCGGTCAAAGCGTGCGATCTGTACCGTTTCAGATGGAAAAGGGGCGGCTGCACAGGAACTGTCTCGGACACGTTTCCAAGGCTTCAGCGATTTCATGGGAGCTACACTGCAGCAAGACCAGTGCCAGGCAAACCCGCTGCAGACTCCTCCGGGTCGATAGCATGCTCTATCATTCCTTGCCACTTCGTTCCGTGTTGAGGGAAGAGGGTAGCTTGCCTTGTATGCTTCCGTTGCTCCTTTGCATTCAATCGTGGAGGTCGGCATGCTGAGAGCAGCATTCCGGATCTTCGATCAAGATGCAGATGGGCCAGCCTTCCTGTACACTGTAAACAGTTCCAGTGGGACTTGGAAGCTGCTGGTTCGGAACAAAAGGTCTACGGTTGTGTTGGTCTTCGCGTTTGTGGGGAACTGTCAGCGGCCAGATTGCCTTGAGTCTCTGCAGACATCCGCGGGCGGTAAAATCCCAGCCAGGTGCATAAGCGCCCAAGACATCAAGCAGGTGTTTTGCCGCAGCCTCAGTGTTTTGTTTAGGTGGGCAAGAGCTGTTCAGGACCAACGATGAGAATTCGCGGATGCCCTTCCCGCATGTGAGCTAGATGTTGCGTGTGAGTGAGTGTATGTATGTGTGTGTGTGTGTAGCTTTTCCCTGAGCGCCACTCAGGGTTCTGCGGGAGAGAGTGGTTGCGTCTCGCTTTCCGCGCTGAGCGATTCTTGCCTACTGTCGATATAGACCTAGCTTTGCCGGGGCATTGTCGACCTGAGGTAGCATCGCAGACCATGGGTTGACGATGTTGACGCATGATTTCTGGAGATGGCTTACGTCTGTAGGCAAGTGCCCAGATGCAAGGATGAGTCCCAAACCCTGGCGAGATATCTAAAACCACAGCCTCCAACACATTCCAACGCTGTGCCTCGGAACTTTGCCATCGGCTTTCTCAGCGCAGTCCGAAGGCAAGTCGTCCCACGATGCGAGCGCAGAGGCCAGCATGTTGTCAGCCTTGCAGAGCATTCAATCAAGTGAAGCTTTATGCAAGGCCAAGGCCAAACAAGACAGAAACCAAGCCGCGCATGCTGATGAGTACCAAACATGCAACTTCAAATGTGCCCCCTGTGGGCCGGGCTTATATTAGCGTCACTTCGAGTTTGTTGACATGGAGCAGGAGTCAGAGTCGATACTTGAGTACAGTTAACCTCGCTCCGCGTCCGAAGAGTGGCAACAGGTGGTCTCTGCCATCTTGGCGGAGGCCTCGATGGGCAGCGGTGAACCTCTCCGCTACCAGGTGCGAGCACTTTCTGCAGTCGCGCTTACCTACAGAGCTGATTGCAACAAAGTCTTCCGTTTGCTTGGTACGCGTACTGCTCGCTCTTCAAGCCTTGCTCGATGCATGTCTTTCGCTTTCGAGTCACTGTTGATTCAGGACTTTTCGGAATTCGTTTCCCGCTCGTTGAGCACTTGAGCCACTTGGCGGCTCTGCGGGCAGGGGGTAGGAACAAGCTTGCCGACACGCTCTTGACCGCAATGTGGTCGTGTCGCAGGAAATGGCTTGACTCCAAACGAGAGTTTTTAACCGTTTCACCCACATCGCAGTCTGGGAACACAGTGAGATACTTGCGTGTGAACTTTTCGAATGTCGATATGCAGCACAACAGATGATGTTTTGGCGGTTTGTGGGTTGCCCAACGTGGCCCCAGAGGGGTGCAGCTCCCCGTGGTGGTGCAAAGAAACTTCAGCGTGGAATAGCTTCAAGAATAGGAGCTGGGTGAGGAGCCGGAAGATATTACGTAGTTATCGGTGCCTATTGGTGCTGTTGTCGGAGTGCATCGTGTCATTCTGCATCGGCACTTATTTGCGTTTTAAGCATCTCGGCTGCCGAACCCATGCCCCGGACGCCGGACGGATGCGAAGATTGCGCAAACGGCCGTTTCGCGTGGCTTCAATTGGGCTGTTGAGACCTGCAGCACTTTCAGTCTCTTCCAGGTTTTTGGAGATGCATACGATAATAATGTGCCGGGGGGGGGGGGCAGGTCGGGATAATAATTGCTGCATGCACAGTGTTAGCTGTTAGGTTTTGGAGTTTCAAAACTCTTCGATTTGAGCTTCGTTTTTCACTTGTGTTGTTACGGCTGAAACTAGATCTCTAAACCCAGCACGAGGCCATCATGCCGCATTGCAGTTCTTGTTGGGCATATAGAGACAAGTCGAAGCTAGACAGAAAAGCGTGCATGATGCTTGGCTACACTGCATTGCAGATGTGGGAATGCCTGGGCCCTAAAACCGTCGTCATGAAGCCTCGCTTGCCTTCGCGAGCTGCGAGAGTCGAAAATCCAGCAAGTGGTGCGCTCACGAAATGTCGAACTTCATTCAGCAGATTTGTTTTGAAACAGCTTCATCCATGTTGAACAAGTACCACGCTCCGCGTCATACATTTACTTCAGCCCAGAGGGCCAGATCAGCTGTGCAACACGCTGAACAGTCTTTACGCAAGACCTGGGCTGCGGCTTCGCAGTCCATGGCAAGTCGCGCCTTGTGCAAGGCCGATTCTGCAGTTGAGCATGAGGCTGCGTTTAGCAGTAGATGATGACATCTGACAACAGAAGATATGACAAGAGGTGCTATGTCGATGGAGCCAAAGACCCGCTCTCCGGTTGGGAACTTAGCTACGAGCAGCTCGCGGTTGCAGAAAGTGATAAACATGTTGTTGTGCGCAAGGCATATCTGCAGACCTACAGGCTGTTGTCCTGACCGCCGGGTGTGTGTGAATTGTGAGTTTCGTGATGGTTGTGCCATGGGCGTTTGTTTTTGCAAGTGATCCGCGTCCAGCGCATTGATTTGGGCACTATGGCAAGGCAACGGTCGAGACTGCTTCAGCACTTTTGTCTGCAGCTGGCATCTGTCCCCCGCAGGCTTGGGGCAACCGAGTCGCTGGCGCGACTGGGCATCCGAGGCATGTTGATGTGCCTGAACGATTCCAGAATCATTCAGGTTCTTTCAGACAGGCTGTCAGCTATCACAGCAACATCTGGTATTGTGAAAAGAACAGGTGTTATGGTGGCTCAACATGCTTAGACTTCGATACCGCGTAGAGTACAAGTCATCACATGTTTTCATTGTGTGCGAAACCCCTTGAGAGCTGGACAGGACCCCTGCTGTACTTAATTGCTGATGTCCCTGTTGCAGGTCGTTGGAGTCTCGGAGGACGCAGCGATTACTGGCAGAGGCAGGAGCATCCGCACGTGTTGGTGTGCATGGAGCCTTTGCGGCTGTGGGAAGTGGTTACTTGTTTTTTGGCCAGTTTTCTGGCACTGTATGACTCAACTTTGAACTTCTTGACGATTTGACTGCTAGGTACAGCCGTGCCGGCAAAGCATTCGTTCTGCCTGTTCAGGCGCTGCTTCCTATGATGAGCTGGTGGCCTTCTTGAAGGAGGGACAGCTCTTTTTGGATTCTGTCGAATGCCCGCCTCATGTTTGCGTATAGGGGGGTTGACAAGAGATCCTCATAGAGCCGTCGGGTTACGAATCACCTGCCTCCACCATGCGTTGAAACCAACGACGAAGTTGCAAACACGGGAGTCCGTGTGTAGTCAGAAAACACCGAAAGCATGTCACGATTGCAATAGGAAGCTACCAGCCAGAATACTACGGATTCTGTACCAGCAGCGCGTGCGATGTGTGACAGTCCTTGAGGATCTCCGCCGGCCAACGCAGCCAGCCGACGAGGAACCTGCACAAAGCCTGCATAGCCGTCACCATAACGCACGAGATGAGGCTGTAGTCCTGCCTTCATACAATCTGCAGCATGCTTACCCTTCCTGAACCGTCCCCGAACATGACAATCCTGGCGCGAGGGTCAAAGGACAGTGAAAGAACTAAGAAGATCTGTGCGGGCTCAGGCGGCGGTGCAGCAGAAACAAGCCGAGCTGGAGGAAGCAGCGCCGGCGCTGCAGGCCAGGAAGTTCACGACCGCTCGTGAGGTCGGCCATGTTATGGAGAATGCGGTGGTGATTGCACGGGAAATTCTTAGTGAAAAAGGTGCTTGGTGACTCACCTAGCAAGAATCCGATTGATGTCTCTTGCAGCCGAAGATGAAACGCTCCTCGCTTGCCAGCGCTTCTTGATCGGCGGGGAGATCCCAGACCGGCTCGCGCTGCTTCGAGTCGTAGCCCGAACCCCAGCCGGAAAGGTCGCACCGTGCCCGACTGGAATGGACTGCAACAGAATGAAATGCAAAGGAGCCGAAGCTTGAGGGAGTTTGTCAAGTTTTACATCCGAGTGTAAGGACAAAAGCGAAATTTGAGCGCCATCATTGTCTTCTTTATCATTGCCAGCAGCACCCGTAAAGTGTGACATCTGATCATCTTTCCCACGAGTGCCTCATCCGCGCTCAAGACAAAAGACGCGGTTTGGAATATTCTTTGCGTGGGAGAACAGATTCTTTCAGCAGGGGCAGATTCTGCCCACAAATGTTGCAATGCTTTGGTGTCTTGGGCCGTTATTGTGAACGCTTTGCTTTGTTGGCCTCGACCCGGTCGCAGGCGAAGAGTACTCTCCACACCAGGCCTCAATTGCATAAAAGGTTCAGAGTGCACAAGACCATGAACGCGGGCGCGGCCCACTTTTTTGGGGGTGACGCGGCCGGGGTGGGGGTTGACCGGGAGCCAGCGCCGTTTTCTTCTTTTTTCAGCCAGTCAGGGTTCCAATTCGGACAAGGCCGAGGCGAACAGCTTTAATATCTCCATCACTTTCGGCCTCAACGGTCGCTCTTTCATCCGCATCGTGGTGCGTCCAAGTTGCTGTACATGCAGACGGAGACATAAAGACAGACGGAGAGACAGAGCCACAGACACCAACGGACCTGAGGCAGACCTCGGGACGTTGCCCGGCAAGCCGTACTCCTTCGCCCTGTACCTCTTGGTTTTTCTGGAGGCCACCATTCACGGGAAGATGAAGTGCCTGCGTGCAGTTTGTGGAGAAAGCGAGGAACAATAAACACTGCATGCAGAGTCCAAGCGGCTGCTTGAACACACAACTCCTCCGTCAGGAGTACTTGAAGGATATCGAGACCCTCCGTGACGGTGAAACAATCTCGGATCGTGCAGCAGAACTCCGCGAGGACGGGGGGACGTGGGCCGGTTGGGTTCCGGAGTTTGGAGTGGGCCTGATTTCTTTTGTTTGCACATCACAGGTGCTTCTTTGCTTCCACCGTGCTGGACTGGCTCCAGATCGGCTTCGGCTGATGTACAGCCACATTGCGCCTTGGCGTCGGCATGCTTGTATTGTTTGCTAGCAGGCACACTCCTCAGAAGTTCCCCCGGAACTCGTGGTCTTGAGGCATTAAAAGCGTTTGTGAAGAAGACAAGTGCATGCTTTGCTGGTATGGTGCAGCAGCTTACACGATTGCGTCCCCTTCAAGACATCCTCCACGCTCAGGAGCAGGACTTCCCCCGCTTTGAGGCTTGCGTTGTCGAGGATTGAACACTTGCTTCTGGACAGATCTCAGACCAGCACCGGACTCGTGTGATAGCCTTCTCGTCCTTGGCGATGAGGTACTTCCGGGCACACTTGTAGAGCTTAGGGCGTTTACCGGATTGAGATCCAGGGTGCGACGCTTCTTGAAGCAATTGGCCGAACCGACGAGGCTGCTGGCGCCCTTTTGCCAATGCCGTCTGCCGTCAGCCTTTGCAGCTCGGACTGCCGTCAATGGATCAAAGTTGATCATGGCCTGCCTTGAAGTAGCCATTGATCGTCGTCGACGTGGAGGGGTTGTTCGTGGTTTTCTTGTGCTAAACAGACGACAGTACAGGTTCTTTAGACCTGGGATATTGACTGCCTCCAGCCTGCCCCAGGCAACGAAGAAGAGTATTCCACCTTTCATCGCCATGTTCTTTCCCGTATGTGGGCGAAGTTCCGACGGTATCTTCAAAGCCTTAAAGGTGCTAAGATGTGATGGTATTGTCATGGTTCATGCCGGAAGCCTTCATCAAAGGCCACACGATGCTTGCGACAGGTCTCAGCCAGGCTCTCGGATATGCCTTTGAGTTTTTTGTAGTGTGGGCACTTCTTACCGGTTCATATCAGTTGATCTTGCTGCGCTCTTGTGCAAGCTGACAGTACGGCAGACAGCTTCGCCGAGCCATCTTCTGCGTGCCCAAGGCTCTAGTGGCGCCACGACCGTCCTCTTGCGCTCCTCGCTGCGTGAGCCTTTGATCCACGTAGCCGACGACTCGCAGGACACATAGCTTGAAGCGAATTGCAAAGTGCCTTCGATCTTTGCAGATGGAGGAGGGTGCGACTTCGGTCATGGAGCGGGAGCAGACACGGCTCCGCTAATTGTAGTTTCGCTTTGCACCTTCAGGAGCTGCGCATGCTGAAAACCATCGAGATGTTAATTCGACTTGACTTCCTCTACACCCAGGATATCCGGGAGCAGGGTCGGTTATAGTATTGCAGGTTGTATCGGCAATAAAGCATTCCGCTGTCGTGTGGTTTTTGTAAGTTGCAACACTTCACAGCCATGTGTGCCATAGTCCCTCGGCCAGTCCAGGAGCGGCTGCCCCCAGAGGTCGCCGAGTATCTCTCCGTCGTTCGGAATCTTCGCTACTACGACCGTGAGCTCCGCGTGCATCCCAAGTCTAAGGGTTGGGGCGGTTGGGGGATGCCGTGACGCCGTTCCGGGCCGAGGCCGCGACACTCCCCTGTCCTACCAGATGGCATTCTTCCTGCGGAAGCATCTAGCCGAGCATAGAATTCAGCTGACTGCATTGACGAGTCGAGCAGTCTTTCAAGGGCCTCGCTTACCGGGCCTGGGAAACTCAGGCATGGCTTCCCTGCCAAGCGAAAGATGCTGGGGCCGTATCCTCTGAAGGCCGGAAGGCAAACAGAGTGAGAGCCCCGAAGGCCCTTCCTGCCATGTGCCTCTTCCGGCTCTCGGGTCCCGTGATGTCTTGCGCAGCGTTTGACCGACGTTGCTCGCGATGCGTTGCGAGTGCAGAGTGCAGAAAGCCTTGTTTGTATCGCTGGTGGTGAGAAGGTCTGTGACCCTGACGAGCGGGTCAACTTCGAGCCTGTGGAGGCAGCCTTCAGTTCGCAGCATCGAAGTTCAATAGCCTCCACAAGCCAACGCCCGGTCAACCTCATCACATCCGACACTGGAGCATCACACTCCCAAAGCCATGACTGCCAAAAATATTTAGCAGCACTTCATGGTCATACCTACTACTACCATGACACATACCATTCCGCTCTTGGTCTTCTACGCAGTTCTTCTGCCAGTGCAGAGCTTTGCACAGCTCTGCAGAGCTCTGAGCAGGATCGGACCTGGCGCTTCGGGCTCATCGAAACGCCGAGGGCACGGAAAAAGCGGCACTTGGAGGCTGGTCCCCGTCCCGAGCGTAACCTATTTTTCAAGAAAATGCACAGAGCCAAAGCATGCACATTGGGACCTTTCAGGGTTCTGTGCTGATTGTTTTTTCGACTCTGGGAGTGCGAAAGCGATGGGAAGTCCTGATGTTGTCGGGGTCTAGGAGCCCAAAACCCATAGAACCAATGTCCACCCGCCCCAGCTGACTATTGGCATTTTACATCGCAGATCCATGCCGCTGAGGCGGTTGGGCCCTAGGATCCGAGACCGTGCAAAGGAGATCTCAAAAGTCATTTGTGACATGGCCATGATTTTGGCTGATGTGCACCGAGCGGGCCTTGCCGATCGCTCTGTGCAAAGCTTGTGGGGGGGGGGGCGGCAGGGGGACCGTTTCTCCGCTTGGTTTCTCATGTGCCGTCTCACAACTGTGTTGTGCAATGCTCATTTTGGCTGACTGTGCTTCCTGTGAGCTTGAACAGCTGAGCGAGAGCGAGTGTGAATGCGGCGGTAGTCGCTTGCTGCAGTGGGGCCTGTGTGTACTGGTACAACGGAGCCCTTGGCCTTGTTTTGCACCTTGAGTAAATTACATTGGTGCTGCGCAACTGAAGTTGTCGGGATCGCCCCATTCTTGTAGCTCCTTCCTTGCTACAAGCCGGGTCCCACTAAGAGACATGCTGTGCTTTGCGATGCGGGAGCCAAAACAACTTTGAGAAGCTTTCGCTGGACACCGGAGGCCGTTGGTTGGCGGAGCATTGAGGCTGGGTACTGTCAGCAGCAGAGTTATCGCTTGCAAGCGCGCAGTCTGAGTACTTGTGCAATCAGAGAAATGATGGTCTGGCTTCTTGGCTGCCGATCAATCACCCACCCGTGCCTTTCCTTGTCTCAGTCTCTTGCAGGTTCAGGCGAGCGAATGGAAAGAACTGCCGCACTATGATGCCAAGGCCGGTCATCGCACTACTTGCGAGGTCAGAGCCAATGCAGGCATGAAAGCTAGAGGGGCCTCTCACACACTCCGAGCAGCTGCCACCGACCCGTCACCTGGTGGACTCGTAACCTCTGGTGAGTCGTCTTGATGGGGGACATTAAAGGGAGGGGGGGGGCAGGGCGAGTACAGAAAACGAAGCTCAGCAGCTTTGGCGAACCAGGACATCGCAGGGCCCAGCACTCCGCAAAACTCGCCTACTCAAGGTTCCAGGTTCAACAGCACCTCGCACAACGCGATTGATGTCAAGACCCTATTCCAAAGCTCTTGTTAAATGTGCCTTTGGCAAGTGTAAGTGATCCAGGCACTATGCGGCTCGTCCCGAACAGTGAATGTCCACACAGCAGCGGGAGAAGAGCTTTCGATCTTTGGTGAATCCTTCGCACCAATCCAAGCTGCGTAGCCGACACGGGCCGTCACCATCAGCAGCCAAGGTGCCACACCAAGACTTAACCACCTAAGCTCTCTGAAAGCGCTCTACGACATTATTTCAAGCTTATTGCAGAAAGGGTTGTGCGTTGGCACTTCGCAGTGTATGTCCTTTCTCTGACATGCCTTCCCTCCGTGACAGGCAGAACAACATTAGGGCATTCCTTCGGCAACCGTAATCCGCGAGAGAACGAAAGAGACTTTCGCGCTTCTAGTTTGCTTGACTGTAGGCGCTCACAGAGAGTCTTGTTGCCCCTGTCACGCGTCGCGAGAGACCGAAGCAGCGTCCCTCAGCCGGGAATGCGAGAATCACAGGCAGCCTTCATCCGCCAGCTCTTGAAGGCCGCATTCGATGTGTTCAGGGCTCACCAGCAGCATACCTAGATTGATTGGCGTTGTTCTCGAGCTTGCCAACGTTTGCAAGTCCGGTGTGCCGCAGGACAACGAGCTGTTGACGCTTTGATTCTGGCATCCGAAAACGGCCTCTGCATGTCGAGCCTCCGGCCGGAGTACCGCGCCATTCGCAAACAAGACCTTGGACATCGAAGCTTCCTGAAGTCCTGAAGTGGCCTTCTGTTCCGTGCCTTTTGCTCAGCTCTGCGCACACATGATATGATAAGCCGGCGTGGGGCACGCCTTGCAGCATCAAGCTTCTTCAGTACATCGTGCATCTGACCGTGCAACATCTGCCGCATTGCGGGGAGGCGACTCTCAGATCTGACTGCATGATTTCTGTAGAGCACGGCCTCCTCACCCATTAAGATTACTCACCAGGCCTGTGTAGCAGCATCAACAAAGCTAGGATCCCACCGGCCGTAGCATGAGCAGATGGAGACCTTGCGTGGAGCACAGACTCACAGAGTTGGGTGAGAGGGGGTCATTTGCTTTCTGTCGATGCAAAATCATCCAGCGCACCTGTCTTAAGAGAAGGCAGAACGCACTTAGGGCAAAGAAGCTGCAAGTGGGACCTGACGTGGTCCACCGCATGCTCCAAGGTTTGGGCTGTTCGAGGCAGCCACCTGGGTTAACGAGGTCCTGTCCCGTACAGAGGAAAAGACCTTGGAACTGCAGGGGCCCTACGAAATTCAGTAACTCATGTTGTGGCAGCATCATGTGGTTTCAATGGCCGCGTTTCTTCATGCAAAGCAAGGGTTGTTCCTCCTGTTGTCGATATGGGCATGGCTGCAAAGGATCCATGTATCCTGGGGCTAATGTTGTTCGCGAAGCATCATTGGCAAGATTGGGAGGCTTCTGGAGGCACATTCCGTCTTGGAAGTAGTTGCCATGCGAACGTCCAAGGGAAAGCCTCTCCGTGAATGTGCAGAGCGTTTCGCAATCGATCTGCACATGGTCGCAGAGCGTTCCAGAGGAGGACTTAACAATCAGAGAGCTTCTGCACAGGAGAACCTCAGAGTGTAATTCGTAAATTAGGAATAATTTGTTAGTGCGAGCGCGTGGGCCGTAGATCGTCGGATCTGCAGGACCGCAATGCGGTCTTCAATTCGAACCAGGTGCCTCTAAAGCTCCAGGTCTTGGGCTTGCTGTGCATAGTGTTACAGGGATAAGGTTGCGACCGAAGACAGGGCTACATCGGGAGGATAAAAGTTTTGACCTACTGGATCTGTCTTGTCTTAAGACGTCTTGCGGAGTAGCGGAGTGCGATTTACGTGGCCTGGCCAGCGGAGCATTTTGTAACCCGTTTTACAATTACACGACTTTAACGTGTTCCGGAGGAGTAGCCGGTTGGTCCTGCTTAGACGAGTCTATGGGGGAATGGGGGCTTGTGTTCGACGAAACAAGGAGTAGGTCAAACTTTCGTCCTACCGCAGTATAAAGAGTTTGAAAGGTCTATATCCAGCAAAACATCATGTAACTCGGGGTTGGTGATCGCACTGGCAGCCGTTGATGTTTGCTAGCCAGTAATAGTGTGGATTGTAGATGACGCGATCACACCACACCTTGAACCCCTCCGCTGCATTCTCTCAATTGACAGGTGTTTCCGCACCTGGCGAAGGTGTTGCACCAAGCCAAGGAGGCTGCAGCCTAAGTGGCTACGTGCAAGAAATGCTCCTCCCATGCAGGTAACGTAGCGGTCCAAAAGCCAGATGTGTGCAGATGGGTTAAGGCTTAGACCAAACTGACATAAGGTCATACTTGAGATACTGTGCAGGAGCAAAGTACCGAAAAGCAGTGCGGTGTATGTAATTCCAAGACCATGTGGCTTCTGCGCAATCCTGGTGCCGGTTCCCTGCCGAGCAACCTGCCGGAGTGATCGCCCCGGGTTTAGGCCAAGGAGTTCCATGCAAGCGCTTTCGGGCATGTTAACGCCTCTGAGGTAATGGCCAGGAATCAAAAACCGACCTCGCCAGAGAATGCGGCCCTGGAGGCATCCGGCCTCGGCAGTGCACGACTTGCCGGAGATTCATGTAAAACCCAGGGCAGGAAGTCTGGCGGAAAGGATTGGATGTGAGATAAGAAGGTGTTCTTTCAGTGGCAAACGAACGGTAGAGCTTTGAAACTTCCACCCATGCAAGCAGCGCAGGCTGCGAAATAGAGCAAGTCGTCATTCATGATCATGCTAGTCCGAATAGCACCAGTGCAGGACTCCAAGCCCGCCAATGGCGCCCATCTCAGTCGCTGCACCGTCACAGGGGCTGAAGTCGAGAGCCCCGCATTTCCCCTCTTCCTCCTTCCCTCTCTCCCTCTCTCGCTCTCTCTCCCTCTCTGTCTCACTCAGCTGCCTGTGAAATTACGTTCTAAGCTCTTTCAAACTGGTCGCGGTCGGTTCCACTCACCTTCCGCGAATTTGTGAAGCTGGCCAGGTTTTCGGGGCATCCTCAAACAGGGGATGAAGCAGGGTTCCAGGAGCATTGCTGGGCTTGCTTCTGTTCGCATGCGGTCTTGCTCTTGCAACATTATCTGAGTCTAGGCCTAGGCTTTGGGATCAACCATATTTGAAACCTGTTATGTTTGGTTGCTTCAATTGATTTTCATCTGACAATGTTCGACAGGACTCTACAAGAAGGTCTGGAGGCAGCAGCCGCCGTCGTCGTGCTGTGGGTGTTGCGTCGGAACTGGCTCTGACAGAGCCCTCTTTGTGCAACCCCGGAAGCCGCAGGTACCCACAAATGAAGTTGACCTACAAAACACTCAACTCAGCTGAACGAGCTTTTGCAAGCCTGCCCCAAACCTGCCAATCGATTCGCAGACCAGCACCTTTCAAGCGGTTTAGGGTTTAGGAAGTTTAGGAAATCGGGGTTCTCCGGAGGCCCTCAGCAGCAGGGTGGGGGCCGTGGGCTCCGGCCTGCTACGTCTGCCTGAGGACCTCGGAATCATGACAGTCTGAAGCTTTGGGTCGAACGGGAGAGTTCATTCCGAGTTGCCTTGAAGTAAGCGCCACCTTCGCCGTGCTGGATGTGTTGTGGCTGCCTTCTATGAGTCCGCATTGCAGCAATACCAGTCAAGACTCTACGGCGTAGATGCAGAGTAGCTTCTGACACAGTCAAAAGTACATAGCGTCCACGTTGAAGATTTGTTTGCTGGTAGCCTCTGGCCCTTTGCACATGGGGAGGATGAGCTGATCAAAGTCAAAGAGGTGGGAGAGTCGCTGCACGGGAGCCATCGCCTCGCGAGTTCCTGTCATTGCTTAGAGCTCCGAGATCCGGAAGCGATTTGGGAGTCGCTGCGCGCAGGCCAACGAGACCATCAGCAGGCTGCTGCCAACGCTAACGCTTCAAGGCTGCACTCGTTGAGCAGAAAACGGGGCCCGGGGTGAAGTGCAGGGAGGATGCAAAGCACCGCTTTGCGAGCACAGCTGTAATTTAAGCTTAGCCTGGTTAGCCGGTTAGCCATGAAGCTTTGTAGTGCTTCCAGATGATTGGCAGGGAATCGGGATTAGAATCGATTCGATTGCAAGCACACTCTCATGTTGAATCGAGCCTCTCTGCACTCTTAAGCAATGACAGGCTGTTGTTTCTGACCCTCCCTCCTGCAAGCATCCAAGGCTGGCCATTCAAGCAAACAGCTTGCGAGGCGAGGGCTTCTGGCCACGTGCCTCTGTTTGCCTCTGCTTGGCCTGCCTGTTCTGTACTGCTCATGAAGCCTCGGCGATGAGTAGCGAACGACAGAAGCATGCTCTTTGGGAATCTCGAGATTAGAGCGTCTGCGGCCTGCACGAAGTTGTTCACCAGCCCTCCAGCTGATCGGAGTTTTGCTCCCGCGACACGCGGGGCTTCTTTGCACAGGTTCCAAGCGAGGGGCTGACACGCCTATCTCGGATGAGCCGGCGGCAGTGCCCTCAGCATTCTTTCCGTTGGAGGGGTCTGGTGAGGAGATGCTCGAAGAACCGAAAGCCGGATGCTGCAACTGAAAACACTTCGAACGGCATGACTCTCACATCCGTGTGGCTGTTTTGATCATTTTGGCACTCGTCGGTCTTTGCACAGAACGTCGTTACAGGGATTTGTCACACGTGCAGCCATCAACACGAACTCACGGCGGTCACAAGCGAAGACCAAGATCGTGCATCGTGTTGTCACTGGTTATGCATGGCTCGCAGCCTGTTTTGCATCTCCGTTGCCATCCCGCCCGGGGGTGAGCAGCTTCTGTCAAAGACATCACGTCCCAGGCGCAGCGGCCGCGCACGGCCATCGAAAGTGGGAGCAGCAACGCTGTTTCGAGCCAATGTCCCAGACCAGACATTGGATGCCCCAGATCACACATGTTCCTTTCTGCCATGCTTCCCAGCATTCTCTCCAGGAAGCGAGTCGAGCTCTACGCAGCAGCCGGGCACCGAGGCCTTCTGAGAAGGGCAGAATAGGTTGAGGGGACTGTGGTAGCTGTGACAAGTCAATCTGAGAAATGGGCGAGCTTTAACAGAGACTCCCCTCCAACAACCGCCTAAGAGGAGCGGCGGCCGCTGCTTCATCTGGATTTGGTCTCGGACGCGCCCTTCGCCGAGAACCGTGACCAGGGCACGCTGACGACTCTGGACACGCTGTGTGGAGGAAATATAATCTACAGCTTTTGGTCTTCATACTCATATTCTCAAGTGTGTGCGTTTATAAGCATTTTAGGACGGGCAGCTTGCATGATCGGAGGACCTGAAGCCTGGTGTTGCCCAGAGTACGACCTCGCTGGAGTCGAACGACACCTCTTTAGGCCTGGAATGAGAGTCTACGCTACCGCTACGGGAGACTTCGTGTGGTGAGACGGATGTGACAAGGTTCGTCCTCCACTGCTGTGGCACGTGTTTAGGATTCGAAGGTGCATACGTACGCAGCCGGCTGAAGTTTCAAATGATTTCCGAAAGTGACAGGTGACGATTCTGGCAACGTCAGGCGGGGTTTGGTCTTGTGTTCGCAGGGAGGTTTGGATTGTCGGCACTGGCTTGACGATTCCCGGCATGAGATTTTGGGACTGTTGCCTAGGCAAGGCAAGCAAAATCAGCAAGCTGTAAGTGAAAGCGCCAAGAGAACGCAGTACATGCTCGGTTTATGACTGATCATCAAGTACTGCAGAGACCCGTCGGAGCCTGATCTTTCATTTCATGTTTGCCCAGGTTGGTCCTGGGCAGAGCAGACCTCCAGAAGCGAGTACGGATCCCAGACTCCTAGACATCCACGCTTTTTGGCATCTGCGATTTGCGAGTGTGACAAAAGTCACTCGTGAATCGAGGTGACCCTGCAATTTCCTGCCGCAGCGAAGAGGAAGCCTACCTCAGTACTTCAGTTCGTCAGCCTTGCCCTCGGCCGCACGTTGTTTTGCACGAGGTTAGTAGTTGAGGCATGTGGAGGCCGAGTGTGCATGATTGAGCAGGTTGTTTGTGCGTGGATCAGATTTCGTGTCACATAGGCTCGTGGCCAGCGCTTGCTGCAGGTCGGGAGTTCCTCCTCCTGGAGGTGCCGGACACCTCCAACATTGCGCCAACGCAGGAGCAACTCCAGTCGTCTTGAGATGGCAAAAACGGCGTTGTTGATTCTTTGGGGGGCTGGTCGTTGTCTCGTCTCGATTTCGGAGTTTGACAGATGCTCCGGGGCAATTGCCCTGCGACACATGCGCAGTAAATACAGCGGCATCTCTTTGTGCTATCTAATCTGTATCTTCGCCGCTTAAAAGGAGATGAATGCGCTGTTGCGGTGTAATTGCAGCAAGAGCGGATGGTCTGCAGTGGTGAACATTGGCCGTGTCTGGCTACACTTAATTTCATGCATCCCACTGCAGGGCAGCATGGAGATGGCCACTTTGGTTTGGGGCTGCTGGAACGACAGCCAGCAGGACGCAGACGAGTCGGGCGCTTGGCTCCGGATGCTCTCACAGACGGAGAGATGTGTGCATCTTTTTATGTGAACCACATGCCTGAGTATGCACATGTGTAGTCATGTGTACATATGTATGCACTTACACAGGAAAACAGCTTAGACATGTTTGCTTTTGGATTATGGAGATGCGACAGGTAGATGGACAGATGCATAGCTTAGAATTGCTTCCTCGGTTTATCAACACCACCTAATCCCAAAAGTCTCCGGTGGGGTTCCGCTTCTGGGCCTCTGGTTGGTACTAGAGGATTACCACTGCGGTGGCCACTGGCGACACTAGTGGTACTGGCAGTACTATACAAACTGCCATGAGGAGGAGGAGGAGAAGGAGGAGGAGGAGGAGGAGGAAGTGCCAAGCAGTCGGTGCGACCGCATCTAGGGGAAATACGAAGTGCAGCGGCTTCAGGAATCATCAGCGGTACTGGTACTGTAGTAGTAGTAGTAGCAGCAGCATCATCATCACACTCGCTGCGGACGGTGAAGTCGCATTGCGATGATTGGAGCGGGAATCACCCGGCGCACAGTGGCGCTCGATCACGGTTGGATCGCCTCAGAGCTAGCTACGTTGCCCCGGAGGGCCTATGCGGAAGTTGCGGCACTCCTCATTCGGTATACAAGGATATAACTGGAGGTGGATAGGGCTTCTGGGAGAATGGATTGTGCGGCACTGTTGTCATCGGTGTAGTGCCAATGGGCTGTTGCGTTGGAACGAGGCTTGAGTGCAGCACGGTAGTGCCCAGTGACCGTGGTAGGTCCGATGTGTTGGACAATCGCCTGAAGCTGATACGTTCGCCATATAACACCTTCAGAGGAAAAGGGGGTCCAGTGAGGGAACAGTCGTCGTAGTCGTCGTAGTCGTAGTCGTAGTAGTAGTAGTGGTAGTGGTAGTAGTAGTCGTAGCAGTAGTAGTTTGTAGTAGTGGTAGCAGTAGCAGTAGGAGTAGCAGCAGAAGCAGTAGCAGTAGCAGCAGCAGCAGCAGGAGGAGTAGTAGTAGTAGTAGTAGTAGTAGTAGTGGAAGTCGTCGTCGTCGTAGTGGTAGTTGTAGTCGTAGTGGTAGTCGTAGTCGTAGTAGTAGGAGCAGCAGCAGCAGCAGCAGGAGTAGTAGGAGTAGTAGGAGTAGTAGGAGTAGTAGTAGTAGTAGTAGTAGTAGTAGTAGTAGTAGTAGTAGTAGTAGTAGTAGTAGTAGTAGTAGTTTAGTAGTAGTTTAGTAGTAGTTTAGTAGTAGTTTAGTAGTAGTTTAGTAGTAGTTTAGTAGTAGTTTAGTAGTAGTGTAGTAGTAGTAGTAGTAGTAGTAGTAGTAGTAGTAGTAGTAGTAGTAGTAGTAGTAGTAGTAGTAGCTTAGTAGTAGTAAAGTATGAGCGGCAGGCAAGGTTTGGGGTTAAGCGTATTTAAGCGTCAGGGCCTGGGACCATGTCAAGCGTGTACAGTGCTGGGGCGCAAGGTTTGTGGTAAAAGGGTCTACGGGTTCAGGGTTAAGGTTCTGGCATGGAGTATCAAATATTCAACATTTTGCATTGGTCGTAGAAGGCTTGCATACGCCGCGATGTGGAACGGTCGGCTTGCTCAGGGCCATCTTGATCGGGGATATGGGCGGGGGGCCCACAAAACAAAAAGGGCGGGGGCCCACAAAGCAAGAAGGCCAAGGAGCATTTCATATTAGTTGTGTTGTGGCAAGCCTTATATCTTATATCTTCAACCCACACTTACGCGCTGCCTCGAGTAACCGCTAAGTAGAGCTTGGGTTTAGTGCTGAGTTCGTTTGGCTCAAACGCAGGACGCGTCTTCAAATAGTCTACGGGGGTGCAGGGAATCCAAAACAGGCGCTTAAAGATCCTGCGAGGAAACCACCCTTGGCATACGTCAGCGGCCTGAAATCCGGCTACCACCTTCGCAAGATCCGGGAGACCAGGTGGAGGGTTCTCAAAGGGTTCGGCGGCGCATGTCATGGGTCGAACATCCCGAATGACAAGTGTCCGTTAAGTTGCTGTAGCGAAGTTGTATGCAGCACTAGGCAAAGCCGACATTTCACGCAGGTGGACCTGGATTGCCAAGGGCGACAAGGCGGCCGATGCTGGGTCGTGTGTGCGATTCGCTTTGTCCTTCGCTGCTGCTCATGGAGCTCCGATTCGCTTCGCTTCAGGGTTTTTCCATACCACGTTCCGCGCTACGACTACGATCCCCGAACTTAACGCCGTGCACCGCTGCTTTGTCAAAGGCCAGCATCGAAGAGGGGGATACCATCGCCATCGTGCTGGAGTGCGCTGCCAGCATGGCGAAGACTTGACGAAAATGGTTGGGAGTGGGGTGGTTCGGCACTCTCCGATGGGAGAGAGAGGTTTTGGGGGATCAGTCGGATGCAGCCTCTGGCAGCCCAGCCCCAAGGTCGCCTCCGGGTTCTGAGGCCCCGGCACCCTCGAAGGACTTGAATGCCGAGGAGGCGGCTCATCAGTAGTCAGCAGCCCTTCGTCTTAGTCTCGTTCACTATCAACTAGTGTGATCATGGTTTCTGTGGTTCAGCTTCTTTCTGTCGAGGGTCTAGAGTGCTCCTGACTTCGGCCCGATCGAACATGCCCTCTTCTGCCAGCATCCATGCAGAGCCGAGGGAAGAATAGCTACTATCAACAGAGATTAGTGATTATCGGTAATCTTCCGTCGCATGTGTATCATTTTCATGTCATACGTCCCAAATCCATTCGTCAGGCATTTGCAAGGTTTTGTCGACAAGCACTGGGTGGATGTTACTGTCTTTGTGCGGAAGGGCTTCCAAGTTTCAGGTCGCCATGCCCTGCCCACAGGCTCGCTGCATACTGGGTTGTGAACTCCGCCGCCCAGTGAACTGAGGCGGTGAAAGAGTCCCGCTTATAGTGGGTCATCCAAAGTGGGGACTGGCAAGCGAATGTAGAAGTTGGAGAGTCGCGGAATCGGGTGCCAGCTGGGCGGTCCTCCACGCGGGCTCCGTCCGCTTCCGTAGGAGTCCTGGGTGATGCCGCACGACTCACATTGGCAGTTGGGGAAAGCATTTAGTGCAAGTGGCTGAGCGGAGTGGTAATCTATTGTCTACTGTAGACTGTAGGCTTCAGGCATTGTTCACCGTTGTTGATTGCCACAGGTTTCAAGCTTATGGAAGCAGCTGTTGGTAGCGGTAGCTGCCAGCCTTTCCTGACATGATCGTTAGCCTGCCAACTTGGCTCGTGTGTCGGCAGTCATCGCAGAAGTCTGCGTGATGCTACTGAATCGCTTGGATCGATCTCCGGATATGGACTTGAAGCGGTCCTTCAGGAACAGCAGCAATGACAGATGCACGAGAGGAAAATTGACAGCCAGCAGATGTTGCACTCGAGCTCGTCTCAGAAGTGATCCGAGCAGATCTGCATCATTTCGGGGTCTGTTTGTTCCGGGTAGCACTGCTGGGGACACGCAGATCGGCAACCCGAATCGAAATTTGCCCTTCCGCCAGCTCTATGGAGCTTCTTGGATGCTCCACACTGATTGCACTACCAAAAACAATTCATTGCTTCGCTAAGCAGTCCAGGATTTGTGACGTGCTCAGCAACAACAAGAATCAGCCTTGAGCCGTGTGCAACGGGCATCGAAGGGCTACTTGGAAGCCATTCCAAGGATTTCTCACCGCAGGCAGTCATATACCTGCTTAGACGCTAGTGGATCCATGAGCACTGGAGCATGCTCGGTAACAGAGGTCTCAGACATGTGCAGTAAGCCAAATTCAGCATCCTAGATGCAACTGTACCGGATGAAACTGAGCCAAACTTCCCGATTCCCACACATGAGCAACCTTGAAATTATACACCTTAGCACTCTTGTACGGGCGTGTTCTGGTGTTCTGGATCTGGCCTTCGCGTGGAGGAAAAGGTAGCAGCTTCTCATGGCTGGTGCGGGTGGGAGAGAGTGCGCCTTTTTGGATGCCCCCTAGCATCAAGAGCACAAACTCGATGTGAAACAGCTTCTCAACAGGGCTTGGCTGCGAACATGCAGAGATTGACATCTGCTTGATGAGACAAGCTAAGTGGCAGCCACATGACCGGGTTGCAAACAGCGATGCAAATTTGCATACCTCGTGAGTATGTGCAGCTGTCGCGCGGTCATTTGGCTCCAGCGTTTGAATCTTACCGCTCCTCGCGTCGTTTGAGTGAGGCGTTTCCAGGGTTCATAAATGAAGATGGACCCTGATGGGAGTGGTGCTTCCCGCCCCGATCAGACCCTTGGAAGCCGAGCGCCAGTGCACCAGAGTTTTTGTGCTACCAGCCCGCCTTCGCACACCAGGCCATGCCCACGCGCAGGGAGCTCTACGGCTTGGGGGCAGCAAGCCTCATGGTGCGCTCCCTGAACAGCAGATTGCTTGTCTGGTGCTTGGCGATGACCTCTGGATGACCTCTGGCTCACCACACGGCATGCAGAAGGCCTTCGAATATCCCTACAGCTTGAGGCCCAAATCGAACAACCTTGAACCCTGTCGCATCCGTAGGAGTTACATCCCATGCCATGTCCTGTGCACGTGAAGGAGTCCGGGAAATCATGGTTGCTTTTATCATGATCCGACTGCCAGGCGCTGTCTGCGCCCACCGTGCTGGAGAGGGCGTCGGGGCTCCAAGACTGTGAGTGACTGTGCTATGTCGATGCAGGGATTCGGTCTGCGCAGTTGGATCTGGCCTGCACAGATCGCCGAAGTTTCGAAGGTTTGTAGCACCGGGCACTGCCAGCAGCCGGCAGAGGACTGTGGAAGCTTTGTGGCTGATGGACATGCAGAGTGCGTACGAGTTGGCAGCATCACACTCTCGCTGATTGTTGGGTAGGCCGTCATTCCGTGCCACCGCTCAAGGACGGTCCGATGAGCTTGCATGAAGTACAGTGCATGAAAGAAAGTGTAGGCAGGTCAGGCAGGCACAGACAAGTCATGAAGATTCGTTCCTAGGTTCCAGGTTGTTGCTGCACCTCTTGCAAAGGACGGGTGGCTTCAGCGGGACAGTCGAGCTCAAGCACCGGCTTCAGACCGTCTATGTTTTTTTTTGTGCGAATGCACGTATCGGTTCATCGTAAACTGAGAACACTGCAGTCCAGGAAGGCCAAAGATGTTAAGAGATCTTGAGGTGCTTCGTCCCATGCTGCCCTGGCCATCGGGCTTTCGGCAGCACTTGGCGCTGGCGCAGCGAGGGCGGCACGGCCAGCGAGGTGAAGTGGGGCCGAGTGTTTGGAGGTTCGTCAGCTAACTCTCAGATAGCTCATGCTTTCAGACCTGGTGCCCTTGTGCAAGGACTAGGTACTTGCGCAGGACGGTAGGGTTAGGCTTCCTTGTTTCAAATTGTGCTGGAAGCGTCAAGAGTATAACAATTGCACATTGGAAGGTCGCCGAAGGTGCATCGTGCCCAGGCCCGTCGTTGAGTATTCTGCCGACGTTTGGGAAGGTTGAGAACATGTTTCTCCTGACGCCCGGGTAGTGGCGTAGATTCATCAGCCACCAGAGAAGCATCGCTGCATGATTGCCTCCTCGAAAAATCTTCCCACTCCAAGTTCCACGTTCCGCTTGCACAGTCGCCGAAGGACGTGCGTCAGTCAGTAATTGTAAGTCAGTCTGTCTGCGTGTGCGTCTGTCTGCCTGCCTGCCCGCCTGCCTGACTGTCTGTCTCTCTGCCTGGCTGGCTGGCTGGCTGGCTAGCTGTCTGTCTGTGTTTGCGCCGGTGTGTATGTAAGTAAATCGGTATGTAAAGGTTTGCATTTATGCATGGATGGATGCGTTGCAACAGAAATGCCCTGTGCAATCGGTGCCTTTTATCCCGGACTATGCAGGATGTAATGGCGGCTGCGATTGTTGAAGCCATACAGGACATGTTGCAGCATCTGTGGGTGTGCCATCACACTTCATGAGAATTGGACAGCCTTTCAGCACGTCCCGGAGACAGCTGACGCTTGCAGGGTGGTGAATGGCAGCCGCATGGCCGGCATGCTTACGGCTTCGTCAGGGCTACGCAGCAGCGGAGTGTTGATGGGTCGTCACCCCGAGACGGCACAATCACGAAGCTGGCGGAAGCTGGGCATTGCGCCGCCCTAGAAGTTTGTCGGAACTTTGAAAGGCGGCTTTCTGGCTGGACCGCCGCGGAGCTCGCCGCATCTCGGACGGCAAAGCTGCCTGGATTCTCCTCCTCACCGCTCATTGCGCCCAGGGCGAACGCCAGCGTGCACAGGCAATGCCGGACCCTCCGGGCTACAACGGGTGTGCACCTCAGCAAATCCGGCAGGCTTTCGGACAGGTGTCAACCGGGTGTTGTTGGTTGTTGGCTGTTGGGTTCAGGGATTCAAGCCTGCAGCTAAAACGACACGCGAGGGACCCTGAGCATGGGTACGTGCAGACTTTCACGGCTGCCTGCACACCAGGCCGCGGTACACTGGCCCAGGCAGCATCACCGACGGCTTCATAGATGTCCGGCGCTGAATGCCAAAAGGTGTGCATGACCACACAAGTGTCACTCCAGCAAGCAAGCAAGCAAGGCAAGCAAGCAAGCCAGCGAGCAAGCAAGCATGCAAGCGTGCAAGCAGGCAAGCAAGCAAGCAAACGTGCAAGCAAGCAAGCAAGCAAAGAAGTAAGCAAGCAAGAAAGGAAGCAAGGATAGAATCGTTGCAGCCTCCTGTTATTACTACCTACTACCTACTACCTACTACCTACTACCTACTACCTACCACCTACCACCTACCACCTACCACCTACCACCTACCACCTACTGCCTACTGCCTACTGCCTACTGCCTACTGCCTACTGCCTACTACTGCCTACCACTACCTACTACTACCTACTACTACCTACTACTACCTACCACCACCTACTACTACCTACTACCACCTACTACCACCTACTGCCACCTACTACTACTACTACTACTACTACTACTACTACTACTGCTACTGCTACTGCTACTGCTACTGCTACTGCTACTACTACTAGTACTACGACGACTACTAGTAGTAGTTGTAGTAGTAGTAGTAGTAGTAGTAGTACTAGTAATAGTAGTACTAGTACTAGTACTAGTACTAGTACTAGTACTAGTACTAGTACTAGTACTAGTACTAGTACTAGTACTAGTACTAGTACTAGTACTAGTACTACTACTACTACTACTACTACTACTACTACTACTACTACTACTACTACTACTACTACTACTACTACTACTACTGCTGCTACTTCTACTAGCGCTGCTGCTGCTACTACTACGACTACTAGCACCACTACTACTACTACTACTACTACTACTACTACTACTGCTGCTACTTCTGCTACACCACATCCCCCCCTACCCCCACCCTGCCCCCATGCCTGCCCCCGACCCCTACTGCCCCTACCCCCACCCCTATACCCCTACCCCTACCCCCTCGCCCCCTACCCCTACCTACCCCTACCCCTAGCCAAACAAGGGAAACGGAAACAAAATAAGAAAAAAACTGAAAAAAATAAGGAACAAAAACCACGCCCCTCTCTCAGTCCATCCTCTGAAACAGGCTCTGCTGGCCATGCAGAAGGACGGCCAGCTCCTGCCGAAGAAGGAGACTTGACTGTGCGGCACGGGCATTGGCACGACAAGAGGTGCTGTCTTCAGGGCCATCAGAAGCGTTGGGATTGCAAGCACGTTCCGTTCAGGATGCGTACTTGATCCTGTTGGACATCATCGACATCCTCCGATCGGAAAAGACATTGGGCCAGGCGGGCTGGGAGATGCAGAGGTCACCCCGCTTTGCCAAAACAAGCCAAGGCCTCCATTCCCGCGGGCGGTCAGTTGACCGTGGTCGGCGACCTGCACGGCCAGTACTGGGACTTCTTGAACCTGCTGAGCATGGCCGGGCATTCGTCGTTCGTGCTGCTTCAATTTGTGCCAGGGTCCTTTTCGCACGGCCGCAGCCGAGTCGACCGTCTGGCTTTTGGGGAGTATAGCTGGAATCAGAGAAGTCCTAAGCTCAAGACGGATCGGCAGTTCGAGCCACTCCTCGAGTTTATTTTTGCCTATCCCAAACCTGGAGATTTTCGCTCGCCATCCTAGATAACACGATCCCAGAGCTTCAGCCCCTAAGCCCTAAGCTTCACGGCTCAGACGGGCAAGCCCTCTGCGAATACTCCCTTCGTCTTCAACGGCGACTTCGTGGATCGAGGCTCCTGGTCCATCGAGGCTGGTCGTGGATTGGCACCTTCAGGGCTACCATTTCAGAGCATGGCAGGTGATCCTGTCGATCTTCGCGCTGAAGCTGAAGGCTGCAAGGGATCTTGCGCATGGCACGGCGATTAGTCGATGTCGCTCAGTTACTTTGAGGAACACCTGAATCAACAAAACCGAAGGGCAGCTGCAGCTAGAGCTGAAGTGCCTGTACCGACCAGGATCCGCAGTCCGTCTTCCTGAACCGGGGAAACCATGAGATGCTGGAGACATTGGGCACATCAACCCCGAGCTAGCAGCTAGCATGCTGGATTCTGTGCACATGGGGATACAGTTGCAGCTGTTGGGGCGACCCTTGCTCTTGGCTCCTTTTCCCGTAGTGTGAGGAGACGAACATCCTGTACGGCTTCTGCGGCGAATGCGGCTCCAAGTATGCACGGGTCTCAGCCGGGTCTCAGCATTCAGAAGGTTTGACGACCGTCGGTAAGTCCAAAGCAAGTTTGAACCAAACTTGCTGAAACCCGAAGGATCAAGATGTCAATGAAATGCAAGTAGACCAGAGACGAAGACCCGATGGCTCAGGTGTTGGGATCACACAGTCCCAAATGAAGGCAAGCCATGGGTTCATCTCAATACTGCATTTGTCAGGACATGGATCTCTTCAACCTCTTCTCTGAGGCCGTGCAGCCGTGCATTGTGGGACGGGAGATCACTTGATTAGGGAGCTCGATGTAATGAAGGCCTTCCGGAATCTTCCTCTCGCCCACTTAGTGGACGGCAAGGCGCCACAGGGTTCTGGAAGAATTATGTTGATCTACATGAAGACTGTGCGACACGAGCTGCTGTAGTCTCAACGTTCCTCGAAGCTCCGGCGAGCCCAAATTTAAAGGATGGATTCGTCGCTTTGATCTCCTGCAGAGGTGTTGATTCTCCATGGCGGTCTCCCCGGCTCGGTGCTGAGCGACTGGAGTTGCTGCAACGACCCCGCATTTCGATCTTGGATTCTTGATGAGTGTACTTGGGAGCTTGGGCTGGGAGCACATCAGCGTGCGATACGCACGAGGACGTCACTCAAGTTCTGTTCGTTCTTACTTGTCCGGCCCAGCTCAGGTCCGGACCCCCGAATTTGGATGCCCGGACAGACGTGCCGGCCCTGGCACTTCAGCGACAGGCTACTTGTAACAGGCCGACTCGAAAGCACGACAAAAGCCTGGACCTGAGCCGTTGCGCTCGAGGCACGACCCCACCGATGCGATCCCGATGACCGTCCTTCCCACGCTGCAGGAGTGCACAGACGCAGTCAGAGCTGTATGGATGCGGTGTCTTTCGAGGGTATGGCATTTGTCCAGGATATCGGCTCAGTGGACCGCTACCTGGAGATCACTCCCGAATCGTGCCAGTAGGGTTCAAGACTTGATTGCAGCTCCAAGCCTGTAGCGGTGCAGAAGCCGTGCAAGCAGCAGAAGTGACTTTTATGTCTTGTCGTGGAGCGTGAACTTTGCTGCTATGTACGGCTCATCGCCTTGCCCAAACTGGGAGGTATGGGCAGTCAATCGGCCCGACAACGACGGACAAGGAGGTGGCGCAATAAAGTTTTAGCTCGCTGGGCATGTCTCGCACGAGACACGGTCACGCTCACGATGCCGAAAAGGGCTTCAGTGCCTTGGGTTCGCTGACGGAAAGGGTGCTTGAGCTCGACAGGTGAACGACATGAGGAAGCTGATCGACATCCTTTGGGGAGATCCCCGTGGTGGGGACGGGTCCGAAGCCTGGCCCCAGGGTTGGGGTGTGGGCGTCGGCTATACTACATGGAGCTGTAAAAGAAAGCTGCAAGCATCTATTCAGGTATGGCCCTTCCTACAGAAAAGGCAAGGGTGTCTACATGTTTGGTCCAAGCCTTACTGCTGGCTCCAGACGACGGGGGAAGCCGCATAAATCCATCTATATACCTTCGCATTCCTACGCATGTACATGCATGCATGCACACATGCACGCAGGGCTTGTATTATGTGTATACACATGTACACACTGTATGTACATGTGTATACATATAATACAAGCCCGGCGTGCATGTGTACATACAATTACATACAGGTGTACACGCGTACATCCAGTCCACGACGTATGTATGTGCATGCCTATGTACGTACATGCACTAGATACATGCATACAAACATAGATGTTTACGTACGTACCCGATCACATGCATTCAGCAGTACGAAAATGCATGCATGCATGCGCTCAAACATAAATATGCATGCATACAAAAATACATGCATGCACCCATGCAGGTGTACTTACGCCCAAGCATAAGCCCATAGATACAACGCAGAGAATCAGCGTGGCACCCAGCGAGCTGCAAAAGCAGCAGCGGAAGGACAAAGCTTCGTGGCCAAAGGGCCCAAAACCCAAAGTCAAAGTCAAAAACACTGCTCCAAAAGATGCCGCTAAGACCGCGAAGACGAGCTTTGTGTCCACCGACGTCAGGTGTCAGCAAGAGACGCAACCGTCGGAAGCTGCGCAGTGGAAGCAGATGCACGAGCAGAAGTGCAGGGAGATAGACTTGGAGAACAACCACTACGACGGGTCCCTGAACACGATGCACGAGGAGAGTTTGATTTTGCAGGAAGCGAACTTAAGTTTGCAGAAACCGTCCTTTGATTAACCGCATTGGCACTGCTTTGTCCAGGGCTGTTGTTTTCCACAAGTACAATGTGGTGATGCCTCGGTTAGTCTCCACGCGAAGCGCACGTGGCAGGCGCACACCAGGGTTCCGTGGCTTCCGTCGTGGCGCGGTCACGTTCTTTCCACAGTCCCGCTCGCTTTGGGTTGCGACTGAGGTGCACGACACAGAAAAGTGCATTGTGGGATTGCAGTCGTGCTCACGCCACAGTTCGTGTGCATTTTGGAATCATGGGCTGGGTTTCGAGAGCAGGATTCCCTTTGGTTCTTCGGTTTGTAGCGCGGTTTGACGTCTTCAAGTGCACACCGCCGTTTGATATTGTTTGAAGCCATGCTGGCGAGGCAGAAGATCGTGCCTCGTCGAATTCTGTGCCATTATGATAAGTTGCCGACTGAGGCTTACAGAGAAATCTACAGACTGCAAAACCTTCTATGCCAAGTTGATGGAAGCGAGCGGCAAGAGTGCAGGATTGGAGGAATGTTGAGACAGCAGCACTTCTTAGGGGGGCAAGCAGAGACAGTAGATAATTGGTGGAACAAGACGTGGTAGCGCCGCCGAGTGTTTCACAAACCAGCCACAAAGTGGCGTGGCACTTTGAGGCACGCAAGCCTTTGCAAACAGAGTATGTATAGTGGAAGCAAGATGAGGCTTTGAGAAGTGCGGGGTGAAGCGGCAACTGGTCTCGAAACTGGGTTGTGTGGTAGAGCCTGTTCTCACGTTTTGTGAGTCCGACCTGGCCGAACCCAGTTCGTTGTTTCTGCGTCTCTGCTTGTGTCTCTTTACATTATATAAATCATTTGGCAGAACGCTGAATTATTGATTTGACGTCTGGTTTGCTTCTTCCATAGACCTGATGGGTTTATTTGGAAAGCGTGCTCTTGCAGACATATGGAATACGAAGATGTTTTCTTAATGTTCGGCACAACAAACGGCTGCCAAAGGGCTACCTCACGCCTCGTGTGCGGTACGATCACTACTGCATGTCATGCGAACTGTCAGCTATTGTTGCCTTGACTTTTCCTTGCTTGATCTGCCGGCTGCTGACCACTGCAGCCATAAGTTTATCAAATGCTCCGATCGTGACTGCCCCTACAAGCATTACTGTGCGCGCTGTGGAAGCACTCAGCATGACTCTCGGCGGTGCACTAAGACGCGTGGGCACTGAGTGACAGGAGCTTGCGGAGGCTGCCCTGGAGCAGCCATGGCTCGCAGACTCACACCAAGGCGCCTGGAATCGGCTTCGAGACGGTGGCGGCATCATTTCAGATGCGGACTGGGGTCCTGATTCTGCAGATGATGTGTTCCGAGACCTATGTCACGTGTGGTCGCGGCGTGTACTGCAGTGGCAGTTGGAGAGGCGGCTGGAGCGGCATGTGGAAGTAGAGTGTGAGAAGCTTGTTGAGTGAAGAAGAAGAAGCACGGATTCTGCGTGCAGATCTTTGTTCTTTCTCAATGACAATGGCCTTTCCTGCTCAGCTGCGGTTGCTCCGGGACAGCCGTTTGCATTGGAGTTGTTGCGAGGCATGCTATTTCTCTTCGCGGATGTGGATGTTGACCTCCCACTTCTTTTGGAGTTGGGCGTCCCGTCAGGGATTCGGAAAATTATTCCACCGTCAGGTGTGTGGCGTCCAGTAGAAGTGCCAGAGCGTCCCCCATTAGATTTACTCACATGGCAGCAACCCTGGGGCTCAGCGTTGCAAGATCCGGCGACAGGAGGATGAGGACCTTGGTTTGCCCATTGGCTGCCTGGCGGGCTGGAAGAGGCGCTCGCTGTGCGTTTGTATTTTAGTCAGCAGTGTTTTCTATGAGTTTCTCATGTTAGCACCGCGCCGCGCCGGTGGCTCAAACTGACAACGACATAGAAACACTGCGCAAGGGCCGCGACCCTACATTCATTCAGAATTTTTCAATTCAAGCTTGGCAGCAACAGCTTTCTTGCATAGCTTTTTTCGCAACATAGCACCGCAGCCATTTGGCCTTGTCCTGCATGGCCTCCTCTTTGGCTCCCCCGGATTCGCCACGCACTGCTCGGCTTGTGAAGGCCATTCAGGAGCTCGCACATGACACTCTTGAATGCGCAACGCAATTGCACATACGCATTGATGAGCTTGGCATTCGCGTAGAGAACCTTGGGGGTTACATTCAGGCACTTGAGCGCCGCATTGTGCAAATCGAGGGTCTCCCAGAGTGCACTGATGCTCTGCCTGAAACACCGCCTGGCATTTGCTTGCATGAGCTTGACTAGCCTTTCTTCTAGCCGCCTTTGCTTCCTGCCATGACGCACCGCCAGGGTAACAAGAAGCAACGCATTGCCACGCCTGAGCCGGCGGCTCCGCGGCACAGCACTGCCGTTTTGGTGGAGGCCCTCTTGCACTTGAGCAGTGATTTCCCAGGCACTGCAGAGTCTATTTCAGGAGGTCTGCCAGAGGTCTTTCTTTCGCAACGCTCTGCCAGCATTCTTCTCCGCTTCCTTGAGCTGCCCGAGCGAAGGCACTTGTCTTTCTTGCACAGCACAGTGCACAGACGCATGGCAGGAACATGGGACTTAACGCCCGGAGACCGTCGCATTCTCACAACCCAGCTGCACAGCACAATTGCTTTACAGTATCTTCGTGCTCGCACAGCATAGCATGGCATCGTCGGAGCCGAGCTCGTCTGCACTGTCATGGTTGGCCGCTGGCTGGCACGATCGCAAAGCACTGGAATTCTTTTTCGGGGTATGGTCCTGCGCGATCAACCCCGCACAGCTGACGCGCTGGCAGGCACAAGACTCCTTGAGCACCGCATCGATTTTCTCGCACGGCCCGGCATTGATAGCGCCTGGCATTGTGTGCTTAGTCACGCAATGCTCACGCAGTGAAGTACGACGCATTGAGCTGCTGAGCGCCTGGCGCGCCGCACGGGCTAAGCTTCTGCAACGCATCATTGGCAATTGGCACAGCAGCGTCTTATGGCAACAGCACTGCAGATATGTTTCAGCACTGACCTCGGGCCCGGCGCCGCACGAGCCAGAAGGAGAACCCGTCCCAGCACCGCACGCAACGCTACGCTGCGTTGCTCAAGACCTGCGGGCCTGGTTTCGCATTGTTGCACTGCTCAGCCATAGAGACATTCGCAATGTTTTGGTTACTGATGGTATGATATGGTACCGGACACGCACTGCACAGCAAAGGCCAAACTTCATCATCTTGAATGGCCGCCCGGCACTGGTGTGGCGACGGGGACATACCTTGCCGATTATTATCTGCATAGGGCAACCCAGCACGGAGTCTGCAACATGCGACCGAGCACTGGTTGACTTTTTGTAGCACAGCACCGCTGTTGACAAAAGTGGGCTTAAGGCTCATGGCATGTGCTTTGCGCGCCCTGCACTGCACCGGCCGCACGGGTTTTTCGTTTTCTTACAGTTGCCCCGCACTGGGCCAGGCCTCGCATGGAACGTTGGAGCTCCGCAAGGCACAACAGGTCTTTTTTGCACTGCCACGGCTGTGGTCGTGTTTTTCTAAGCACGCTCTGCTTCTTTTGCCGCGCAGGTACCACATGTACTCGCACAGCATCGCCCGGGCCTCAGCTTAGTTACTTTTCGTTGGTCGTCGTGCTGACTGCCTTGCTTCAGGTCGCTCGGCAGAGCTACCTTATGCTCCCGCTCGGAGTTCTTTCGTGCACCGCAAGGACAGATGCCATACGTTTGCCTTTCCTGCTGCAGCGCCTTACACGGTTGTTTTTTCGAAACTGTATCGCATGAGCATCTTAGCATGTACTTGGTTTCGCAGAGCATTCTCTCGAGATCTGCATCAACATCTGCCCCCGCTTTGAGCACCGCACTGCCTTGAGCACTGCACAGCCATGTCCAGTCTTTCCACTTGCCTTCAGATCCTGATGCAAGAGGACAGCACCGCACGGGTGGGTGCATTCCGCAACATGACAGTTGCACAGCTCGCACAGCTCCGCATGGATTTGGACACGGCCATGCAAAGCTCTGCCGTCTCGGCACCGGAGCCACGCACTGCACAGCCGGCCGAGCCGCCTCAGGCAGAGGATCCTTGGGATCGCGCAGCACCGGGCTACGACGACGCACAGCCATACATGGCACCGCACGGCAAAGGCGGCAAAGCCCCGCAGCGCTGGAGCTATCACGACTTTGACCAAGCCCGGCATCGCCAGGAGCAAGAGCAAAGCTGGGCGGATCTCCAAGACGAAGCGGAGCACCGCACAGAGCTCTGGGCACGCCTGGACGAGGATGTCCGCCAGCACCGCACAGGGCGCGCAGCAACGTGGGGCGATGCTCGCCCGGCAGGGTGGGGGAACCCCCCACCGGCACCGCATCGATCCCCGCCGCCACCCGCCCCGCACAGTTTCCCACGCCCGGCCCCCGCACAGCACGATCGCTACCATGGCAATCCGCCCCGCAACGCACAGTTCGTCGAAGCCTCCAGCAAAGTTCTCACGGAGATCCGCTGGGTGCACAGCAGCGACGGCGTCTTCAGACCAATTTT